ATTGTCAGAACTACAACATGGCGGAACTGTCAGTTACTACTTAGGAGGACTGAGCTGCTCTTTAGAACTACAATTCCTGAAGGTCAGAACTACAACATGGCGGAACACTCAGTGCCTACAGAAGAGGTCATAGGTGAATATAAAAACTACAACATGGTGGAACTGTCAGTTACTACTGAGGAGGAATGAGCTGCTCTTTAGAACTACAATTCCTGAACGTTAGAACTACAACATGGCGGAACACTCAGTGCCTACAGAAGAGGTCATAGGTGAATATAAAAACTACAACATGGTGGAACTGTCAGTTACTACTAAGGAGGAATGAGCTGGCCATGACAAGTACTTGGTTTTTGGGAATTTTAGAACTGATTTCAAAACTCCATAGTTACACATGGGAATAGTGTTACCATTAAAATTAAGCTTAATGTAAATTTCAAAATAAAGCCTTGACAATTTTTCCATCAAGTAATTGCTCTTTTGACCACTATATGACTGATTTAACCCAATCAGTGTTAAACATGGGATGAGATTGGCCATTTAAAATTAATCTCAATGAAAATTTCAAAATAAAAGCCTTAAGATTCCTTTCTGGCTCATGCCTATTTTAGGCAAAATGGCTGCCTCAAACTGATAGAATTACGTCTCCCCCTGTCTGACGCACAGCTGGCAGAGGATCCATTACTATGGCAACGGAACACAAAGGGGCCAGCTGATTAGGACTACAAAAGCGCATCACTGTAGTTCTAACTATGGCAGAACTCAGAGAAAAAAGCTGGACTTTAGAACTGCTTGTGTTTTGGGCCTTTTATAACTATTTTTAACCAACCATTGTTACACATGGAATTAGTGTAGAAATTTTAAATTAAGCTTTAAAAAAATTTCAAAATAAAAGCCTTGAGAATTTTTAGATTAAATAAGTGCTCTTTAGACCATTATATGTCTGATTTAACCAAATCACTGTTGTACATGGGATTACATTGACCATTTAAAATTAAACATTCTGAACATTTCAAAATAAAAGCCTTAAGATTCGGCCGTGGCTAATGCAGCGCCAGAGGCGCTGCAATGATATTAGCTTGCATTATCTTTTCCTCTCAAGTTAGGGCACTGTCTTGCGCAGCAAGACAGTGCATTAGCATTAGCTCAAACATTAGCATTTCTCTGTTTCCCACCAGTGCACTGCCGTAGGCAGTGCAATAAGATTATCCTGCATGATCCTTTCCACTCAGGTTAGGGCTCTGCCTTGCGCAGCAAGGCAGATCATTAGCATTAGCCTTTTACCTTGCATGAGGTATTAGCTATTTCCCTTACTTATTACCCATATTTACTATACATGCTTGTGACTCTGCACATTGTATTGATGACATTGCAGCTTTCTTTAGCATGGATGCTAATGTTTAGCATCAGAACGCTGGGTCAAAATCGACGGGCACACTTTGGCAGGCCCCGGTTAAATTTCTTCAGGAATTTTCTAGTTATTCTTTATTTTTCTTCCGTCAGCCGGAATGCGGGTCGCACCGCTGCGAGCCCACCCACAAAAGTGGTATCAAAACGTGCGGCTCGTTCCCGGCATTGGAGCTATTACTTTTATGGGGAATCGGCGTTACGACGGCGACGTAAAAAGCGAAAAACGAGCGAAATTTCCAACTGCCGAAACGCAGAGCATAACTGCCACCAACTGCCGCTCCGCTAGAGTGAAAAATGAAGTGGATTTCTGACCCCAAATAAATTTTGAAATCGCCGCCACGCCCACAAATATCGTGCTACCGGTATGAAACTCGGACATGACATCGATACGTATGTCTGCTCCGGTAAAATGTTTTCAAAATTTTTCTAGGGCTTACGGTTTTCTGTCAAGGTGCTTTAGAGCAAAATCAAGTTCCAGCCTAACTGACGCTCTCCACCATGTATTTTCATACTTTTATGGAAAAACACAGACCTCAGCTCACACCATTTTTCTCTCATCGCTGTAATTACTGTGATTGAGCTACAGATATGATTTGCAGGACTATAGGAGACGACAAATAGCTCTCTCAAACGCTTCAAACGGTTTTCCGATACGTATCCCGGTTCCCGAACGGCAAGGAGTTTGTTCGGGCTGCTTTTTCCATTATAACTGACTGAGCTGTCTCACAAAGATAGAAATCTGTGTCTGCCTCACACACATGACAGTTGACCTCTTTAGAACTACAATTCTTGAAGGTTAGAACTACAACATGGCGGAACACTCAGTGCCTACAAAAGAGGTCAGAGCTGATTGTCAGAACTACAACATGGCGGAACTGTCAGTTACTACTGAGGAGGAATGAGCTGGCCTTTAGAATTACATTGTGTTTGGGCTTTTTATAACTGATTTTAACCAACCATTGTTACACACAGTATTTCTGTGGAAATTTTAAATTAAGCTGAATGAAAATTTCAAAATAAAACCTTGAATATTTCTCTCAGGCCTGTCAGAAAAACTAACTTCTTCAAGCATTTAGAATTAAGTCTCTCCTTGTGTGTCACACTGACATGACAGTTGACCTCCTCTTTAGAACTACAATTTCTGAAGGTTAGAACTACAACATGGCGGAACACTCAGTGCCTACAGAAGAGGTCATAGGTGAATATAAAAACTACAACATGGTGGAACTGTCAGTTACTACTGAGGGGGACTGAGCTGCTCTTTAGAACTCCAATTACTGCAGGTTAGAACTACAACATGGCGGAACACTCAGTGCCTACAAAAGAGTCAGAGCTGATTGTCAGAACTACAACATGGCGGAACTGTCAGTTACTACTGATTAGTAATCAGCTGGCCATGACAAGTACTTGGTTTTTGGGAATTTTAGAACTGATTTCAAAACTCCATAGTTACACATGGGATTAGTGTTACCATTAAAATTAAGCTTAATGTAAATTTCAAAATAAAAGCCTTGACAATTTTTCCATCAAGTAATTGCTCTTTTGACCACTATATAACTGATTTAACCCAATCAGTGTTAAACATGGGATGAGATTGGCCATTTAAAATTAATCTCAATGAAATTTCAAAATAAAAGCCTTAAGATTCCTTTCTGGCTCATGCCTATTTTAGGCAAAATGACTGCCTCAAACTGGTAGAATTAAGTCTCCCCCTGTCTGACTCACAGCTGACAGAGGATCCATTACTATGGCAACGGAACACAAAGGGGCCAGCTGATTAGGACTACAAAAATGCATCACTGTAGTTCTAACATGGCAGAACTCAGAGAAAAAAGCTGGACTTTAAAGCTGCTTGTGTTTTGGGCCTTTTATAACTATTTTTAACCAACCATTGTTACACATGGAATTAGAGTGGAAATTTTAAATTAAGCTTTAAAAAAAATTCAAAATAAAAGCCTTGAGAATTTTTAGATTAAATAAGTGCTCTTTTGACCATTATATGTCTGATTTAACCAAATCACTGTTATACTTGGGATTACATTGACCATTTAAAATTAAACATTCTGAACATTTCAAAATAAAAGCCTTAAGATTCGGCCGTGGCTAATGCAGCGCCGCAGGCGCTGCAATGATATTAGCTTGCATTATCTTTTCCTCTCAAGTTAGGGCACTGTCTTGCGCAGCAAGACAGTGCATTAGCATTACAAACATTAGCATTTCTCTGTTTCCCACCAGTGCACTGCCTATGGCAGTGCAATAAGATTATCCTGCATGATCTTTTCCACTCAGGTTAGGGCTCTGCCTTGCACAGCAAGGCAGAGCATTAGCATTAGCCTTTTACCTTGCATGAGGTATTAGCTATTTCCCTTACTTATTACCCATATTTAGTATACTGAATGCAGTAAGTCATGCTTGTGACTCTCCACATTGTATTGATGACATTGCAACTTTCTTTAGCATGGATGCTAATGTTTAGCATCAGAACGCTGGGTCCAAAGCGACGGGCACACTTTGGCAGGCCCCGGTTAAATTTCTTCAGGAATTTTCTAGTTCAGTACTGGAATTACACCCAAGTTAAATTAGTTTAATCAAAGGACGTCATGAATATGTGAGCGTGTGCTGAGTTTTATAAAATACTTTGTTCATTCAAGTTTCCCCTGCAATTATTCCTTTGGCTTGTTTGGGTTTTTTCCTTGCCGATCAGCCTCATTCTTTGTCCTCTTAGGTTTAAGACGTTTCCTCGTCTTTTACTCAGCATGTGACCAACCTGCTCACAACAACGTTCGTGTTATAACTCATGTCCCGTCTGCAAACACTCTATGGGTTTGAGACGTGCGTTTGTCTAACCACAGTTGTATCTTTTTTACTGTGCAAGAGTTTAAACTTTAGGAACTTCCTAAAAGGATTGTTTGGAAGTGCAATATTACCTCTGAAGAGGCTTCCAAATGATATTTCTACAGATATTTTGACGTTTTTTATTGACTTTATTATGATTCTGTTACAAGACTTTCAAGACGCTCACCACAAACCCACAGTAAAGAAACACGTCGGGGCATTTTTAAAATAATGAGAGATAAAGTGGAGAAAAGGTATTGGAGGAAATTTGTGTAAGAGGAAATGTATAGCTAGTTAGAAAAATTACAATACTGCTGTAAAGAAAGAGATTTGTGTTTTTCTGTGCTACTTTAAAACAATAAAATTATCAAAGGACTCAGTTCAGACAAAACTATTTCTGTGAAATACAGAGTTTGACTGCAGCTTAACATCAAAGTGGAGATGTAGATCTATAAATCCTTCTCTACAGCATTGCACAATTTCTGAAAACGTTCTTCAGGTTTCCAATAAAAGATCGGACTGACATTGCTCATTGTTTTGGTTTTCCATCTCTGCCATCAAATCCTCTTCTGATGAGAAGTCCTATTGATACCTCAATAGTGACAGATTTCTATGTTCCCAGTTTTAGTTTTAGACAGACTTGTCTTAATCGGTGAAATCATTTCCTCACTGATAAACAGATATCTAGTTTAGGTCGACTCAGACCACAAACACCTGGATCTGAACAAACCTGTGAAGTGATGTCAGTAACGTGTTACTGTCGTCGGTCGGACCACTTTTTGTCAGTGACTAATAATCTAACATGTTGCTATTTCAAATCCAGTAGTCAGACTACAGTTACTTATCGAAATCACTTCTTTTAATGCAGTTTTGTTTATAACATCTTAGTTACTGTTGTTTATTTGGTTCCAGTGTTAAATGTTATTTTGAAATTAAAGTTTTTTCTTAATTTTGAGGGGGCGCACGCACATTATTGTGCATTATTATTATTATTTTAGTGAAAAATGGCCTCCAGACTGCAATGCTATTATTTCATCACCCCAATTTCTGGGACAGTTTATCGTCCAGCAGGATTTCTTGTTGTGACAGGCCTGGAAACGACTAACCGATCGGCTTTTCTTTTTTCGTCCCCTGCGGTGCTGACACTCTTCCAGGTCAGCTGATGGGAATGAATGAGATCACAGAGAAGCTAACTCTAGACGCCAAGTGTCGGAACGAGCACGCCATCGTCCAGAGAGTGACCACGGCCGCCAACCTCAGCCGCGTTCCCTGCGGCTCAGACAAAGAGTGCAGGTAGGGGGATCGGCGCCTCATTGTGCAGTAAGTCGTTCAAATGAGACGCATAATCAGCTTTCAATCTCAGGATATAGTCAATAGTAACAGCATCTTTGTCCAGACCGCAGAATATAATAACAGTAATGACAGTTTGAGTGTTGAATTAACTTTTTAATGAGGCTTCAAACTTCAAATCGCTAATAGTCGTGCTCTGTACTCTTCACAATCGAAAGCTGACATGGCTGCAGATTAGGAGGGTTGAATTTCCAAATAATTTGAAAAGAAATCTGTGGCAAATGATATTCAGTTGGCTGCATTCTCCGCTTTAGCCATTAGATGTCACTACATCCTTGAATTAGTATGTCTTCAAGCAAGCCATACTAACAGATGTGAATACACTTTAAGATTCTCCCTCTGTTTATTGCCTTTACGGCTGAGTAAGCAAAGAACCGTCTCAAGTTTTGTAAGTTGAGGAGTTAGCCCGGACCGACTCGGCTGTTCTGTTGAGTCTTTAGCATATCGATATCTATTTTAATTTTTAAAAAATGCAGTTGTATTGGAGAAGTTCGATTCAGAAAAAAAATGGTTCCATATTGTTATAGTGCTGTTTATTTTCATGTCCATACTTGAAATCTATAAAAGAAGCAAACAAACAGACTATGACCATCAATACATGTTCTTGTTCAATAACGACAACAAAGTTCAAGTAAAGTATGTTTTTAGAGAGCTAATAGACCAGCACCCCAACCCAATTTAAAAGAGCTCAGTGGTAGCTAATCTGTAATTAGCCACAGCAGCAGCTGTGATAAAAAAATGAAAGGAAATGATAGGAATTGTTACTACAGTGGTGACTGGTGTGCATTAACAGTTTTTGCTAACAACTGTTGCTACAATGCTGTCTGCTTGCTAGCTCAGCTGTTTCTGTTGAGCTGATGGTACAAGAAAGGTCACTTCCAATACAGCTGATAATAGTAGAAAACCAACAATACAGAAATACAAAGAAAATTGGGCCTGATCAGATTCTAAATAAAATAAAATGTTTAATCCGTCACTCAAAGCAATCACTGGAGGCATGTTTCACAGTTTTTAAAGATTTTTAGCACTTTTTATCTATATTTATGAACCTATTTTTGACTTTATTTCTTTTTAACTCTTATTGCAAAATAAGACATGAAATCTATTTATACATTTTAATCTTGTTGCAGAAGAAGACGTTAATCAACATCCATTCATTTTTGCTTGTGTTTTTAACGCTGGGTTCCACTCGCGTTTTCACTCTTCATAAACTTCTTCACCTTCAACGCATACACTCTTCTGCGAAAGGATGCTGTTCACTCCGTCCGTTCCCATGTTTCCTCTGAGGAGGAACACATCCGTTTGCTAATCATCACTACTTTTTTTTTATTTTTTTGTCATTGTTGACAAAAAGGCGAACTGATTTTTGTAGAAATCACGCTCTGGTCGTCCCCTAAGACATGCAATCAGTCTGTAAGATGTTAGCTGCTGCAACGCAGCGCAAACTCAGAAAATCAATGCGGTTGATGATGGAAATACTAATTGTTTTGGAAGACAAGGGAAAAGACCTGATAGTGAATCATTCATGTCTCGATTTGAACCACAGGTTATGGGTTGAATTCCCAGTTGGGGTCCTTCTCTTTCCTGAGAACTGGAACTGAGAAACACTGAAAGATCAGTTTTGGGTTTTTTTGCCTCCATCTTGAGAATTTATCTAATTTTTGCATCTGAGTCGACATCCTGGTAACCGACGTCCATCTCACTCTCGTTCTTTGTTTTCAACCTTACTTCTGCTCTGTTTTTTGCTGCTTTGACCTCAGTCCTCCTGTTCCTCCTCCTGAACATCCTGCCCACAGGTTTGCGGGCAGAACGGTGACCAGCGGCAGCCTGGTGCTGGTCACTGTGACGACCAGAGAGGAGGGCGCCGCCCAGCTGACGATCAACTGTGAGAAAATGGTGATCGGCACCATGCTGGTTAAGGACATCCTGCTGGCCCTGACGCAGTGACGACAAGCGGACGCCCGGCTCCACTTGTGCCCCCCTCACTCCAGCCACCCCGCGGATTTTGTTTAGGACTGCGTTCTCCAACAAGCCACGTTGACAGGAAGCTTCCAGAGTGTGAAAAGATAATGAGCCATGCATCTGAAGAGTGACAGAGAAGACATCGAATTGTAGCATAATCATCTTTTAGCTGCTCACTAAACCACTTACTGGTTTCCAGTTTAAGTATGGAAGCAAAATGGACGTAAATGTTTGGAGGTTCTCTGCTCATTGTCCACATTAAAAGTTTTGTTTCAGGTGAAATTAAAAAACACAAAATGCTACCAAACCGAAGATTTTTGTGGTGTGACCAGATAAACCGGGCATCCAGAGACAAGTAGAAACTGAATTTAGAGGCCCAGCTCGCATGGGTCCGGTTCTGATTTCTGTTCTACAACAGTGAAGCAGTTTTCATGTTGCTTTTTCATCCATTCACTCTTCAGTCCTGACTTTGTTTCCGTTAATCCTCGGTTTTTAAGCTGGTGAAGTTAGTGACCGAGAGGAAAAGCTAAAGCTGTTCGATCTTTAACATGGGACCGCTTTAGCCGTGCTCTGGAAATTGATTTGAATTTCTTCCACATTAATATCTACTGTGGCTACGCAGCTGTCACAGTTTAGCTAGATCCAAAAACGCACTAGAACTAAATTACTTTTATCTGTTTGAAGAAAAAAAACAAACCCTGTCATGCCAGTATGAAATCAGAACACTGGTCAATTATAACTAGATAGACATACAAGCATTGTCGTGGTGTCAAAGTGGATTTGTAAAACTCATTAATCGACTTAACCGCTAAGTCGGGATATTTAAAGGAAATCTCAAATTTGTTGCTTACCTAAAAATACTGCAATCAATTCATGTCAAGGTAGCATTTTGTTCAAAACTGTTTGGGTTTAAGGAAAACATTTTGAAATTTGCATTTAAAAGTCATTTGCAAGGACCTTTTTTTGTTTGTTTGTCTAAATCACATTCAAGTCAGAGGTTCATGCGGCTTATTTTTGTGAAACTTGAGAGCTCCATGGAAAATGTTCATTTGTCTTTTTTGCCCTCGGAGACAAAGTCAGGAGCAGAGGCAGCACATCATGTCAGATGCAGCCAGTCGTGGAGAGAGTACATGTTCGCAAACCTTTTGTTTCGGTTGCCATTAATCCTAAAACCATCCGATGATCGCGTCAGAGTCACAACGAGGAATGTAGAGGTAATGAAATATCCCCCAACCAAAAGGAGGCGGTTTTCGCAGAAAACAGCAAATTCACACCTGGTCGTTCCTTTCATCTCCAATGGCTTTCACATAGACAAAGTATGGTTTATCATGCCCTGTGTGTGGTTGTGAATTGTAATCTTGAGGTATTGCAAGTTTATTTATTGTACAAATAAAAAGATTAAAGCTTACCCGTCTTCTCTCTTGTATCGTGTTTTATACCGTAGCCCGGAAACTTGTTTTCAAGTTTTTGTGTAAAAGGAAAAAGAAAAGGTAAATTCAGCAGCAGGAGCCTCTGGGCACAACTAGACATTAAACCTATACGCATATTTTGTTTTCAGACTGGCTGGGGGGTGAGGGTGGGCAAAATCCTATTTATAGTTTTCCAGAGACTAGAAACAAAAACACGCACAAATTGGAAGCGTTTTTTTTTTTTTTTTTTTGTACTGTTGTAAGCATTAAACAATCAACCATATAAGCGGAGACACATTGTTGATGTTGTCATTATAAAATAACTTGCAATTAAGTTTTGGCAAAGATCAATATGATGTTCACAGGTATTGGAGCGCTGTTGTTGTTAGGAACTAAAATAGTTACTTTTAATGCAACTTAGTCTCTAAATCAAGTAGTCAGTAATCTAACTAAGTTACTTTTTCAAGAGTAATCAGTAATCCGATTAGTTACTTTTCCAAAGTAACTTTGCCATCACTGATAGTGAAACACTTTAGCGCAACTCTTTAGTTCATTCATTCGTCCCGCTTCCCGTTGCTGCTCCGGTTTAAAGGGAAACACTGTTTATGATACAGGGACATAAATCGTGTGAATTCAGACAAAGTCGCTCGTTTGATTCACACGTCAGGAGGGAGACACAGAGACCTCGCCGCTCTCTTCGCTCTCCGAGCCGCTGGCCGAGTCCGACTCTGGAAAGGAACAGAAGATGTTTGCTCTGAGGGAAAGTATTTTATCAAAACATTTTTGCAGATGTGGAACACAGATTTCTTCTGTTATTTTGTTTGACTTATTGCTCCAAGCACATATTTAGGGACAAGTCGTCCATAATTACGATCAGTCACTTTGTGTCTCTAACATTTAGTCGGATTGAACGAGCTGAAGTCGAGCTGCTTAAACGTTTTTAGTGACATCAGAACAATTTGTAGAAGCAACTGAAGCCTTTAGTTTGCTTTCAGTCCAGGAGAGAGACGTCTTGCGTCAACTCATCAGCTCAAACCAACCAGATGTTTTATGTTGTTATCCGTTTATCTTCATATGCAAAACTTTGATAATCAGTTTGGTTATGTTTTCAGAGAAGCACTACAAATGTATTGGTTTCTCTTAACAAATGAATAAAATATTTGATTAAATCCATCTTTAAAAAAAAAAGAGGTGCTCACTTCATTAATGTTAAGTTATGTAAAAAAAAGTCAATACTTCAGTTACGATGTCAAAAAAGCCGCGTCTCGGTGAAGTGTTTATGTTTCCTGAACTTTATTGTCATTTTGAAGACATCACTAAATAAGAGTTTGACATTTCCTCCCGTTATTGTGGCAAAGCAATAATAGAAAATGATTTCTGTTAGAGAGGTTTGGTCTGATTTAACTTCAGACAGGGAAGGAAAAAAAAGGTGCAGGTGTATTTTTATTCTGCGTCTGTAAACTTCTGTCTTGAACAGCGAAGGCATCAACAGCTCGTTTTACATTGTTTTGTAACCTCTGACCTGTCTGTGCTCCCTGCACAGACTTTAGCTCAGCAATGTCCTCGACTCACAGCAGATCCCAAACGTCCGTTTTGATAAAAGGCGTCACGACGCCACGCTGAGGTTAAAGGTTACCGCTGTCAGCAGACTCGGTCGGGCCGGACTCGCCCTCTGAGTCGGAGTAGAACGGCTTCTCAACTTTCTTCTCCTTCCTCTTCTCCCGGCTGCTGCATTTGGTCCATTCGGGCACCTGGCGGACAGAAACGGAGCCCGGTGAGTTTTTATTTCAGCCACAGTGGACGGAACAAAAAATAAATAAATGATAATAATAATAAAAGAAATAACCCTCAGCAAAAAAAAGCACAGACGTGGCAGAGGAGCATGGCCATGAATGCCTCTGCCTGGGCGTGATGCAGCCAAATGAAGCCATCCATCGCTGCTGCTGATCTGCTTTTACACAGTGGGGCCCCCGAGGGAGGGGCCTGGGGGGCCATGGCCCCCTTTTGAAAAATGCTGGCCCCCTCCCTCTAGAGAATCATGTTCAGCTTGTAAAAAGGTACATAGAGTCGTCTTTTTTCAACAAGACAGCAAATAAATTAATCAAATTAATAGGTTGGTCTGGCCACCACTGTGCAAATTTCTGAGGCTGCTGCTGCTTTTACTACGACTGAGTATTATGGCCATAGTTAGAAAAATTAAAAATATAAGCATGAGAATAAAGTCATAATAAAACGACGATGAAATAGTTCTGAAAAATATAATGAGAATAAAGTCACAGCAGATCTATTCTCGTAATACTATGACGTTATTCTCGTAGTATTATAGCTTCATTCTCGTACTTTTATATATTTCATTTTCCTAGCGTGGCCTTAGGAAAATGATACCTGTACAAAGTAGTTAGCTTGGACGTATTTTACGTCTTCCTGCGAGAAAAAAAAAAAAGAAAGAAAGAAATGAATTCAATCCGGATGCTTCTTTATGCCAAATGAGACGAGCACCAGGTGATGCCTTCATGACCAAGTTGCATAAATGGCTTTCTTTCAATACAGGGAGCGTTTTCATTATCAGAAGTGATGTCTTTCAGGACTTACCCTCCTACCCTTTCTGTTTTTCTTCCCAGAGAAAGCAATCTGCTCTCTCCCTGTCCGCGCTCATTGACCGGAGATCTTCGGTAATGACCGCGGACATCTCCTGGTTTCAAAATCACTCCTTCTAACGCGTCTCGACATGCCTGACGAGCCGGGGTTCTGTTCATCTGTGCTACCCGTAAATCCGTCCTACCTCGTGGTCATGCGAAATCTGCTTACTCAGCAGATTTCCTTGACATACGTCCCACCTGTGGGAAGTTTTGTTTCATGAGTTTTTGTTTCGTCGAAGACGACAGTCAGCTTTATTTCATTAATTTCACACCTGGCTTTCATTGAGCTGCTGTTTTGCTTCATGTTTCCACTTCACATGACAGGCAGCTTAGAAATGGCTTTAGTTACTACTGTAAACAAGTCATGGTTTGGCGGTTAATCAGGACAAAATACGTTGTTTGTGGGCTATTTTGTCCCTATATTTTAAAAATATTTTAGTTTAATTACACTCTTTTTTTATTATCAAACTTCGCTAAGTAGATGTCAGCAATACTCTGTGGGATTCAAGCTGTGTGATAGCCAAGTAATGTTAGTGTATATTGATCATCTCCGACCTTTCATCGACACAATGACCTGCGCAATTCAGTGGACACACTGTGGCTTCGTTGGACAGTCTGTCATACGATGAATCGGTGATCTGAGTCGGTCTGTGTTTAATTCAATTCCAGCAAAAACGTGTTTTCCTCGTCTGATACTGTTTTATGTTTAACAACACCTTTGTATTGGAGATATGTTTTTAAAGGTAAGGATATTCAGTTAGAAACAGAAATTGCTTTAAAGGTGAAGTTACTCTTAAAGTGTGGCTGCCTGAATCATGCTGTAGCCTGAACCTCTGCAGTAAACATGTAGTAAACGTGTCCTCCTCTCCATATGACCCCTCATAGAGAAGCCTTTTCAGACAGTGGGTAAGTTGGCTTTGACAGGTTTGTTGTTCCCAGCTGTCTGTGTGTCCGCCTGCTTTACAGCAAACCTCTGAACTCCCACTTCCCCACCATCGGCCCCCCCTCCCTGAGACGTGACCCCTGACCCCTTCCTGCCTTGGTAGTCGCACCGCAGCTGCATCTCCAGGTCTGGAGCTGCTGACCTGCTGATCACAGGAATGACTGGAAATGCTCATCCACTGATCATGATTCAGTTCTGTTTGAGCACAAAGCGAATGACAAAAAATACTCTGAATCCACCGATCAAAGCTGTGCTGTTGTTGGTCTGAGCTGTTTCTGTGCAGAGAAACTGATTTAGTTTCGGCTCGGTTTGGCTTTTTACTTAAGTGTTTGTAGTTTACATTTGAGAAGCAGCTTGGAAATGTATTGGAAGCTGAGAGGTCTACCATCAATCCCCTTCGGTGTTCAGTGGGAAGCATCGCTGCATTCCAGTTTGTACCGTTTGTTTGTTATTCCTGGTTACTGAGCACAACTAAAATCCTAATCTGCAGCGGGATTTAAAGGTAGTCATGCAGAAACCACGTTGCTGGGCTGTAAATACAGTATGTGTGCTGCATGTAATACTGCATGTCCAAATTTGGCTGACATCTAGAACTCTTTACATATATATTTATATATTCTGGTCGTACGTTATTTCAGTGCTTTTCTTTCTCAATGGTGAGATGTTAGAAATGACTAAACCTCTCACAATAAGTAACACATCAATTGATAAGTGTTAAATCAGTCGTTGAAGAAAAGTCACTTAATATTGTTGAAAAAACGCTGTAAACATTTGATACCTGTACAAAGTAGTTAGCTTGCACTACCTGATGCTTTTACCTGTTTTCTGTCCATCTTAAGTCCAGAGCAGACTAGCTTTTTTGTTGTTGTTGCTTTTGCCACCACTAGATGATCAATATATAACAAACCTGATTGTCTTTGCTGGTGCAAAATAATATTAGGGTTACTGTGGAGAAAAACAAAACATATTTTAGAGTGTAATTTTAGAATTTTCAAAAAATCGTCAGAATTTTTCAGCCTTTTTTCAAACAGATGATGAAAAATCATTTGATGCAGTAATTTTATTTAGAAGCACACTTCCATGAATGGCCAGCAGATGGCGGTGCTCTAGGACTGGTTGCTCATCAACTCCCATAGAAAAATAATGTTTTTCCAATGGTATCATTGAAATCAGCAGTGATGTCATAACTCTATGACACCACAAAGAAATCTCTCTCTTGAATTCAGCTCACTGACAGAGTTTTGTCAGACCTGTTCCACATTTCGATTGCAGCAGATCACTCTACAAAACACGTTCGAAAGTCACTGAGACAAGCGGGATATCGATTGCAGATATCGCACGCTTTTTACAGCAAGAATACCGACATGAAGCACCAACAAATTGCATGTCAACATGAAGCTTTTCCATCTAAGCTTTCATGGGTCGACATAGTGGACCTCAACGTCCAGGTCGACTACAAAGCCGTCGTTTTTCCTTTTGAGGACGACAGCGACAGCCCCTTTGAGCCGGAAGGTGTACCATCAGAGAACCAGGGGGAATCAAGTCCTTCCGGCGACTTTGAGAATACAACATCTTCAGAAGTCGAGCAGAAAACAACTCAGTCTGCTGGCTTCCAGATCACCCCCTCAGTGGAAGTCGAGGACGAGACAAACCAACACGTCTTCGATCTCTCAAAGCAGGTGGATGATCTTAAAAAAGAGTTACAGAGCAAGATCTTTGATCTCCATGAGGAACGAGAACAAAGGATTGCCTATCAGGCTCAAGTCCAATCCCAGCAGGACGAAATTCAAAGACTGCAAAACCTGTTACAGAAAGAACGTCACCAGCAAGTCAAACAAGATCGTGACAGAAAGGTGCCGGAGACGACAGGTAGCTCAAGGGCTTCTTGCTCGACCAAAGTGACAGCTGACAAGGACCTTCTTCGACAGCTCGATTACTTCAAGTGGGAGGCTGTAAAACATGCCTCCCACAATAAAGGCCTCATTGAAGTAATGGTCGAAGAGTACAGAGTGAGGCTGAAATATGAGGAACAGCTCAAACATCACGCAGAGCAAGCTTCTAAATTTGTAGAACAAGAGGCAACAGTGAAGTCTTTGCAAGATCAGGTTGCAGACCTGAAGCTCAAGTTAAAACTTGCTATGGAAACTAACCATCCTGAAGTCTCCACCCGACCAGAGACCCCCCTGCAAACAGAGGAGTCCAGGGACAGGCAGACCTTGAACCAACCGGAGGTCTCCATCCATAGCCGGCTCAGCCTTTGCACCGACCCACATCCAGGTTGCAAAGAGAGGAGACCACGCAAACCCAGACCTCCACACAAACCTGGAGGTCCGAGGACAGACAGACGACCATGCAACCAACCTCCACCTCCACCGGTTGCATGGAGGGCCTTCGAGTTGGCATTGGCAGGAAGGGCAAGCTAATCCCGGCTCGGCCTTTGCGGCGACCCACACTAGGGTACTAACCTCGGTCACAATACAAACCCAGGTTAGGCTAAAACTCTGCATTAATTAATTGATTAATTGGTCTTTCTAAATTGTCCTAAGATGTCCTAAGACATTAGACTACTAGTCTAATGCAGCTATGTAATTGGCAGAAATATAACCTAACATTATATAAACACTGTTCAGGTAAAATCACTCAGTCAGGTTTATTCATGCATTGTGCACAATGCAGAGAGCTCATAAGACGATCAATAATCAAGCCAGTCTGGATGCAAAGCTCACAAAACTCTCCCAGGCAGAGACTAACACCTAAGTTTTATGCAAGAATAAGGAATCAAAATCCCTCGACTGAACATCCGAGGACTATTTGGGTTAAATGTACGAGATTGGATGGTTGCACGGGAACCAGGCCGACTCGCACCTTGATTTGATTCCTTATCCTTGCATGAAACTTTGTTGTTTGTCTTTGCCTGGGAGAGTTTTGTGAGCTTTGCATCCAGACTGGCTTGATTATTGATCGTCTTATGAGCTCTCTACATTGTGCACAATGCATGAATTAACCTGACTGAGTGATTTTACTTGAACAGTGCTTGGAAGTATTTTTTTCCCCCACAACAATTCCTATTAACTAAAACTTAATTTGGATCTAACCTCTAAATTACCCAAATGAAATGAGTCCATCATATTAGGACCAGGCTTTGGTCCTAATATGATGGAACTAATGAAGTGTTTCTCACTTCCCCTCCTCAGGTGGATCACCTGCCCTGCATGTTTTAGGGGGCCTGAGGAGAGGAACTGAGAAACACTGACCTAATGTGACACTGGACATATAAAGGTGCGTTCACACCAAATGCGTTTTGAGCATCAGGTGCGTCTGGTTTGCATTCAGTCTATGTGGAGACGCTTTGAGCGTCTAGCGCGGCGCAATTTGAACCGTTTGGAGCGTTTGACACATCCAGCGCATCCAACACTCCACATAGACTTTGAATATAAACCGGCCTGACGCTCAAAACGGGTTTGATGTGAATGGACCAGTAGAATGTTCGGTTCCACTGGCAACAATGACATCAGCAGTGATGACATCACTCTTTGATGCATCAAATGAATCTCTCTCCTGAGTGAAGCACACAGGCTGTTTTTACAGACCCGTTCCTGTTTCAGACTTTTAAGTTCTAAGTTGTGAATCTTCTACATGTTAAAATTATCTGAAAGCAGAATAAATCCAGTACAGATTTACATTCTCAGGTAAGAGAGACTCACCTGGTATGAAGTTCATTTTTCAGTACTGGAATTACACCCAAGTTAAATTAGTTTAATCAAAGGACGTCATGAATATGTGAGCGTGTGCTGAGTTTTATAAAATACTTTGTTCATTCAAGTTTCCCCTGCAATTATTCCTTTGGCTTGTTTGGGTTTTTTCCTTGCCGATCAGCCTCATTCTTTGTCCTCTTAGTTTTCAGACGTTTCCTCGTCTTTTACTCAGCATGTGACACAACCTGCTCACAACAACGTTCGTGTTATAACTCATGTCCCGTCTGCAAACACTCTATGGGTTTGAGACGTGCGTTTGTCTAACCACAGTTGTATCTTTTTTACTGTGCAAGAGTTTAAACTTTAGAAACTTCCTAAAAGGATTGTTAGGAAGTGCAATATTACCTCTGAAGAGGCTTCCAAATGATATTCCTACAGATATTTCTAAGTTTTTTATTGACTTTATTATGATTCTGTTACTTTGTGACATGAACGAGACTTTCAAGACGCTCACCACAAACCCACAGTAAAGAAACACGTCGGGGCGTTTTTAAAATAATGAGAGATAAAGTGGAGAAAAAGTATTGGAGGAAATTTATGTAAGAGGAAATGTATAGCTAGTTAGAAAAATTACAATACAGCTGTAAAAGAAAGAGATTTGTGTTTTTCTGCGCTACTTTAAAACAATGAAATCATCAAAGGACTCAGTTCAGACAAAACTATTTCTGTGAAATACAGAGTTTGACTGCAGCTTAACATCAAAGTGGAGATGTAGATCTATAAATTCTTCTCTACAGCATTGCACAATTTCTGAAAACGTTCTTCAGGTTTCCAATAAAAGATCGGACTGACATTGCTCATTGTTTTGGTTTTCCATCTCTGCCATCAAATCCTCTTCTGATGAGAAGTCCTATTGATACCTCAATAGTTGACAGATTTCTATGTTCCCAGTTTTAGTTTTAGACAGACTTGTCTTAATCGGTGAAATCATTTCCTCACTGATAAACAGATCTCTAGTTTAGGTCGACTCAGACCACAAACACCTGGATCTGAACAAACCTGTGAAGTGATGTCAGTAACGTGTTACTGTCGTCGGTCGGACCACTTTTTGTCAGTGACTAGTAATCTAACATGTTGCTATTTCAAATCCAGTAGTCAGACTACAGTTACTTATCGAAATCACTTCTTTTAATGCAGTTTGTTTATAACATCTTAGTTACTGTTGTTTATTTGGTTCCAGTGTTAAATGTTATTTTGAAATTAAAGTTTTTTCTTAATTTTGAGGGGGCGCACGCACATTAATGTGCATTATTATTATTATTTTAGTGAAAAATGGCCTCCAGACGACAGTGCTATTATTTCATCACCCCAATTTCTGGGACAGTTTATCGTCCAGCAGGATTTCTTGTTGTGACAGGCCTGGAAACGACTAACCGATCGGCTTTATTTTTTTCGTCCCCTGCGGTGCTGACACTCTTCCAGGTCAGCTGATGGGAATGAATGAGATCACAGAGAAGCTAACTCTAGACGCCAAGTGTCGGAACGAGCACGCCATCGTCCAGAGAGTGACCACGGCCGCCAACCTCAGCCGCGTTCCCTGCGGCTCAGACAAAGAGTGCAGGTAGGGGGATCGGCGCCTCATTGTGCAGTAAGTCGTTCAAATGAGACGCATAATCAGCTTTCAAATCTCAGGATATAGTCAATAGTAACAGCATCTTTGTCCAGACCGCAGAATATAATAACAGTAATGACAGTTTGAGTGTTGAATTAACTTTTTAATGAGGCTTCAAACTTCAAATCGCTAATAGTCGTGCTCTGTACTCTTCACAATCGAAAGCTGACATGGCTGCAGATTAGGAGGGTTGAATTTCCAAATAATTTGAAAAGAAATCTGTGGCAAATGATATTCAGTTGGCTGCATTCTCCGCTTTAGCCATTAGATGTCACTACATCCTTGAATTAGTATGTCTTCAAGCAAGCCATACTAACAGATGTGAATACACTTTAAGATTCTCCCTCTGTTTATTGCCTTTACGGCTGAGTAAGCAAAGAACCGTCTCAAGTTTTGTAAGTTGAGGAGTTAGCCCGGACCGACTCGGCTGTTCTGTTGAGTCTTTAGGACATCAATATCTATTTCAATTTTTAAAAAAGTGCAGTTGTATTGGAGAAGTTTGATTCAGAAAAAAATTAGTTCCATATTGTTATAGTGCTGTTTATTTTCATGTCCATACTTGAAATCTATAAAAGAAGCAAAACAAACAGATTATGACCATCAATACATGTTCTTAACAAACAATCTGGACCAATAACAACAACAAAGTTCAAGTAAAGTATGTTTTTAGAGAGCTAATAGACCAGCACCCCAACCCAATTTAAAAGAGCTCAGTGGTAGCTAATCTGTAATTAGCCACAGCAGCAGCTGTGATAAAAAAATGAAAGGAAATGATAGGAATTGTTACTACAGTGGTGACTGGTGTGCATTAACAGTTTTATGCTAACAACTGTTGCTACAATGCTGTCTGCTTGCTAGCTCAGCTGTTTCTGTTGAGCTGATGGTACAAGAAAGGTCACTTCCAATACACCTGATAATAGTAGAAAACCAACAATACAGAAATACAAAGAAAATTGGGCCTGATCAGAAGATTCTAAATAAAATAAAATGTTTAATCCGTCACTCAAAGCAATCACTGGAGGCATGTTTCACAGTTTTTAAAGATTTTTAGCACTTTTTATCTATATTTATGAACCTATTTTTGACTTTATTTCTTTTTAACTCTTATTGCAAAATAAGACATGAAATCTATTTATACATTTTAATCTTGTTGCAGAAGAAGACGTTAAATCAACATCCATTCATTTTTTGCTTGTGTTTTTAACGCTGGGTTCCACTCGCGTTTTCACTCTTCATAAACTTCTTCACCTTCAACGCATACACTCTTCTGCGAAAGGATGCTGTTCACTCCGTCCGTTCCCATGTTTCCTCTGAGGAGGAACACATCCGTTTGCTAATCATCACTACTTTTTTTTATTTTTTTTGTCATTGTTGACAAAAAGGCGAACTGATTTTTGTAGAAATCACGCTCTGGTCGTCCCCTAAGACATGCAATCAGTCTGTAAGATGTTAGCTGCTGCAACGCAGCGCAAACTCAGAAAATCAATGCGGTTGATGATGGAAATACTAATTGTTTTGGAAGACAAGGGAAAAGACCTGATAGTGAATCATTCATGTCTCGATTTGAACCACAGGGTTATGGGTTGAATTCCCAGTTGGGGTCCTTCTCTTTCCTGAGAACTGGAAATGAGAAACACTGAAAGATCAGTTTTGGGGTTTTTTGCCTCCATCTTGAGAATTTATCTAATTTTTGCATCTGAGTCGACATCCTGGTAACCGATGTCCATCTCACTCTCGTTCTTTGTTTTCAACCTTACTTCTGCTCTCTTTTTTGCTGCTTTGACCTCAGTCCTCCTGTTCCTCCTCCTGAACATCCTGCCCACAGGTTTGCGGGCAGAACGGTGACCAGCGGCAGCCTGGTGCTGGTCACTGTGACGACCAGAGAGGAGGGCGCCGCCCAGCTGACGATCAACTGTGAGAAAATGGTGATCGGCACCATGCTGGTTAAGGACATCCTGCTGGCCCTGACGCAGTGACGACAAGCGGACGCCCGGCTCCACTTGTGCCCCCCTCACTCCAGCCACCCCGCGGATTTTGTTTAGGACTGCGTTCTCCAACAAGCCACGTTGGACAGGAAGCTTCCAGAGTGTGAAAAGATAATGAGCCATGCATCTGAAGAGTGACAGAGAAGACATCGAATTGTAGCATAATCATCTTTTAGCTGCTCACTAAACCACTTACTGGTTTCCAGTTTAAGTATGGAAGCAAAATGGACGTAAATGTTTGGAGGTTCTCTGCTCATTGTCCACATTAAAAGTTTTGTTTCAGGTGAAATTAAAAAACACAAAATGCTACCAAAACCGAAGATTTTTGTGGTGTGACCAGATAAACCGGGCATCCAGAGACAAGTAGAAACTGAATTTAGAGGCCCAGCTCGCATGGGTCCGGTTCTGATTTCTGTTCTACAACAGTGAAGCAGTTTTCATGTTGCTTTTTCATCCATTCACTCTTCAGTCCTGACTTTGTTTCCGTTAATCCTCGGTTTTAAGCTGGTGAAGTTAGTGACCGAGAGGAAAAGCTAAAGCTGTTCGATCTTTAACATGGGACCGCTTTAGCCGTGCTCTGGAAATTGATTTGAATTTCTTCCACATTAATATCTACTGTGGCTACGCAGCTGTCACAGTTTAGCTAGATCCAAAAACGCACTAGAACTAAATTACTTTTATCTGTTTGAAGAAAAAAAACAAACCCTGTCATGCCAGTATGAAATCAGAACACTGGTCAATTATAACTAGATAGACATACAAGCATTGTCGTGGTGTCAAAGTGGATTTGTAAAACTCATTAATCGACTTAACCGCTAAGTCGGGATATTTAAAGGAAATCTCAAATTTGTTGCTTACCTAAAAATACTGCAATCAATTCATGTCAAGGTAGCATTTTGTTCAAAACTGTTTGGGTTTAAGGAAAACATTTTGAAATTTGCATTTAAAAGTCATTTGCAAGGACCTTTTTTTTGTTTGTTTGTCTAAATCACATTCAAGTCAGAGGCTCATGCGGCTTATTTTTGTGAAACTTGAGAGGTCCATGAAAAATATTCATTTGTCTTTTTTGCCCTCGGAGACAAAGTCAGGAGCAGAGGCAGCACATCATGTCAGATGCAGCCAGTCGTGGAGAGAGTACATGTTCGCAAACCTTTTGTTTCGGTTGCCATTAATCCTAAAACCATCCGATGATCGCGTCAGAGTCACAACGAGGAATGTAGAGGTAATGAAATATCCCCCAACCAAAAGGAGGCGGTTTTCGCAGAAAACAGCAAATTCACACCTGGTCGTTCCTTTCATCTCCAATGGCTTTCACATAGACAAAGTATGGTTTATCATGCCCTGTGTGTGGTTGTGAATTGTAATCTTGAGGTATTGCAAGTTTATTTATTGTACAAATAAAAAGATTAAAGCTTACCCGTCTTCTCTCTTGTATCGTGTTTTATACCGTAGCCCGGAAACTTGTTTTCAAGTTTTTGTGTAAAAGGAAAAAGAAAAGGTAAATTCAGCAGCAGGAGCCTCTGGGCACAACTAGACATTAAACCTATACGCATATTTTGTTTTCAGACTGGCTGGGGGGTGAGGGTGGGCAAAATCCTATTTATAGTTTTCCAGAGACTAGAAACAAAACACGCAGAAATTGGAAGCGTTTTTTTTTTTTTTTTTTTGTACTGTTGTAAGCATTAAACAATCAACCATATAAGCGGAGACACATTGTTGATGTTGTCATTATAAAATAACTTGCAATTAAGTTTTGGCAAAGATCAATATGATGTTCACAGGTATTGGAGCGCTGTTGTTGTTAGGAACTAAAATAGTTACTTTTAATGCAACTTAGTCTCTAAATCAAGTAGTCAGTAATCTAACTAAGTTACTTTTTCAAGAGTAATCAGTAATCCGATTAGTTACTTTTCCAAAGTAACTTTGCCATCACTGATAGTGAAACACTTTAGCGCAACTCTTTAGTTCATTCATTCGTCCCGCTTCCCGTTGCTGCTCCGGTTTAAAGGAAACGCTGTTTATGATACAGGGACATAAATCGTGTGAATTCAGACAAAGTCGCTCGTTTGATCCACACGTCAGGAGGGAGACACAGAGACCTCGCCGCTCTCTTCGCTCTCCGAGCCGCTGGCCGAGTCCGACTCTGGAAAGGAACAGAAGATGTTTGCTCTGAGGGAAAGTATTTATCAAAACATTTTTGCAGATGTGGAACACAGATTTCTTCTGTTATTTTGTTTGACTTATTGCTCCAAGCACATATTTAGGGACAAGTCGTCCATAATTACGATCAGTCACTTTGTGTCTCTAACATTTAGTCGGATTGAACGAGCTGAAGTCGAGCTGCTTAAACGTTTTTAGTGACATCAGAACAATTTGTAGAAGCAACTGAAGCCTTTAGTTTGCTTTCAGTCCAGGAGAGAGACGTCTTGCGTCAACTCATCAGCTCAAACCAACCAGATGTTTTATGTTGTTATCCGTTTATCTTCATATGCAAAACTTTGATAATCAGTTTGGTTATGTTTTCAGAGAAGCACTACAAATGTATTGGTTTCTCTTAATAAATAAATAAAATATTTGATTAAATCCATCTTTAAAAAAAAAAGAGGTGCTCACTTCATTAATGTTAAGTTATGTAAAAAAAGTCAATACTTCAGTTACGATGTCAAAAAAGCCGCGTCTCGGTGAAGTGTTTATGTTTCCTGAACTTTATTGTCATTTTGAAGACATCACTAAATAAGAGTTTGACATTTCCTCCCGTTATTGTGGCAAAGCAATAATAGAAAATGATTTCTGTTTAGAGAGGTTTGGTCTGATTTAACTTCAGACAGGGAAGGAAAATAAGGTGCAGGTGTATTTTTATTCTGCATCTGTAAACTTCTGTCTTGAACAGCGAAGGCATCAACAGCTCGTTTTACATTGTTTTGTAACCTCTGACCTGTCTGTGCTCCCTGCACAGACTTTAGCTCAGCAATGTCCTCGACTCACAGCAGATCCACCAACGTCCGTTTTGATAAAAGGCGTCACGACGCCACGCTGAGGTTAAAGGTTACCGCTGTCAGCAGACTCGGTCGGGCCGGACTCGCCCTCTGAGTCGGAGTAGAACGGCTTCTCAACTTTCTTCTCCTTCCTCTTCTCCCGGCTGCTGCATTTGGTCCATTCGGGCACCTGGCGGACAGAAACGGAGCCCGGTGAGTTTTTATTTCAGCCACAGTGGACGGGAACAAAAAATAAATAAATAATAATAATAATAAAAGAAATAACCCTCAGCAAAGAAAAAGCACAGACGTGGGCAGAGGAGCATGGCCATGAATGCCTCTGCCTGGGCGTGATGCAGCCAAATGAAGCCATCCATCGCTGCTGCTGATCTGCTTTTACACAGTGGGGCCCCCGAGGGAGGGGCCTGGGGGGCCATGGCCCCCTTTTGAAAAATGCTGGCCCCCTCCCTCTAGAGAATCATGTTCAGCTTGTAAAAAGGTACATAGAGTCATCTTTTTTCAAAAAGACAGCAAATAAATTAATCAAATTAATAGGTTGGTCTGGCCACCTGTGCAAATTTCTGAGGCTGCTGCTGCTTTTACTACGACTGAGTATTATGGCCATAGTTAGAAAAATTTAAAATATAAGCATGAGAATAAAGTCATAATAAAACGACGATGAAATAGTTCTGAAAAATATAATGAGAATAAAGTCACAGCAGATCTATTCTCGTAATACTATGACGTTATTCTCGTAGTATTATAGCTTCATTCTCGTACTTTTATATATTTCATTTTCCTAGCGTGGCCTTAATACGCCGACGTATTTTACGTCTTCCTGCGAAAAAAAAAAAAAAAAAAAGAAAGAAAAATGAATTCAGTCCGGATGCTTCTTTATGCCAAATGAGACGAGCACCAGGTGATGCCTTCATGACCAAGTTGCATAAATGGCTTTCTTTCAATACAGGGAGCGTTTCATTATCAGAAGTGATGTCTTTCAGGACTTACCCTCCTACCCTTTCTGTTTTTCTTCCCAGAGAAAGCAATCTGCTCTCTCCCTGTCCGCGCTCATTGACCGGAGATCTTCGGTAATGACCGCGGACATCTCCTGGTTTCAAAATCACTCCTTCTAACGCGTCTCGACATGCCTGACGAGCCGGGGTTCTGTTCATCTGTGCTACCCGTAAATCCGTCCTACCTCGTGGTCATGCGAAATCTGCTTACTCAGCAGATTTCCTTGACTCCACGTCCCACCTGTGGAAGTTTTGTTTCATGAGTTTTGTTTCGTCGAAGACGACAGTCAGCTTTATTTCATTAATTTCACACCTGGCTTTCATTGAGCTGCTGTTTTGCTTCATGTTTCCACTTCACATGACAGGCAGCTTAGAAATGGCTTTAGTTACTACTGTAAACAAGTCATGGTTTGGCGGTTAATCAGGACAAAATACGTTGTTTTGTGGGCTATTTTGTCCCTATATTTTAAAAATATTTTAGTTTAATTACACTCTTTTTTTATTATCAAACTTCGCTAAGTAGATGTCAGCGATACTCTGTGGGATTCAAGCTGTGTGATAGCCAAGTAATGTTAGTGTATATTGATCATCTCCGACCTTTTCATCGACACAATGACCTGCGCAGTTCAGTGGACACACTGTGGCTGCGTTGGACAGTCTGTCATACGATGAATCGGTGATCTGAGTCGGTCTGTGTTTAATTCAATTCCAGCAAAAACGTGTTTCCCTCGTCTGATACTGTTTTATGTTTAACAACACCTTTGTATTGGAGATATGTTTTTAACAGGTAAGGATATTCAGTTAGAAACAGAAATTGCTTTAAAGGTGAAGTTACTCTTAAAGTGTGGCTGCCTGAATTATGCTGTAGCCTGAACCTCTGCAGTAAACATGTAGTAAACGTGTCCTCCTCTCCATATGACCCCTCATAGAGAAGCCTTTTCAGACAGTGGGTAAGTTGGCTTTGACAGGTTTGTTGTTCCCAGCTGTCTGTGTGTCCGCCTGCTTTACAACAAACCTCTGAACTCCCACTTCCCCACCATCGTCCCCCCTTCCCTGACCCCTGACCCCTTCCTGCCTTGGTAGTCGCACCGCAGCTGCATCTCCAGGTCTGGAGCTGCTGACCTGCTGATCACAGGAATGACTGGAAATGCTCATCCACTGATCATGATTCAGTTCTGTTTGAGCACAAAGCGAATGACAAAAAATACTCTGAATCCACCGATCAAAGCTGTGCTGTTGTTGGTCTGAGCTGTTTCTGTGCAGAGAAACTGCTTTAGTTTCGGCTCGGTTTGGCTTTTTACTTAAGTGTTTGTAGTTTACATTTGAGAAGCAGCTTGGAAATGTATTGGAAGCTGAGAGGTCTACCATCAATCCCCTTCGGTGTTCAGTGGGAAGCATCGCTGCATTCCAGTTTGTACCGTTTGTTTGTTATTCCTGGTTTACTGAGCACAACTAAAATCCTAATCTGCAGCGGGATTTAAAGGTAGTCATGCAGAAGCCACGTTGCTGGGCTGTAAATACAGTATGTGTGCTGCATGTAATACTGCATGTCCAAATTTGGTAGACATCTAGAACTCTTTACATATATATTTTTATATATTCTGGTCGTACGTTATTTCAGTGCTTTTCTTTCTCAATGGTGAGATGTTAGAAATGACTAAACCTCTCACAATAAGTAACACATCAATTGATAAGTGTTAAATCAGTCGTTGAAGAAAAGCTCACTTAATATTGTTGAAAAAACGCTGTAAACATTTGATACCTGTACAAAGTAGTTAGCTTGCACTACCTGATGCTTTTACCTGTTTTCTGTCCATCTTAAGTCCAGAGCAGACTAGCTTTTTTTGTTGTTGTTGCTTTTGCCACCACTAGATGATCAATATATAACAAACCTGATTGTCTTTGCTGGTGCAAAAACAATATTAGGGTTACTGTGGAGAAAAACAAAACATATTTTAGAGTTTAATTTTAGAATTTTCAAAAAATTGTCAGAATTTTTCAGCCTTTTTTCAACAGATGATAAAAAATCATTTGATGCAGTAATTTTATTTAGAAGCGCACTTCCATGAGTGGCCAGCAGATGGCGGTGCTCTAGGACTGGTTGCTCATCAACTCCCATAGAAAAAGAATGTTTTTCCAATGGTATCATTGAAATCAGCAGTGATGTCATAACTCTATGACACCACAAAGGAATCTCTCTCTTGAATTCAGCTCACTGACAGAGTTTTGTCAGACCTGTTCCACATTTCGATTGCAGCAGATCACTCTACAAAACACGTTCGAAAGTCACTGAGACAAGCGGGATATCGATTGCAGATATCGCACGCCTTTTACAGCAAGAATACCGACATGAAGCACAACAAATTGCATGTCAACATGAAGCTTTTCCATCTAAGCTTTCATGGGTCGACATAGTGGACCTCAACGTCCAGGTCGACTACGACGCCGTCGTTTTTCCTTTTGAGGACGACAGCGACAGCCCCTTTGAGCCGGAAGGTGTACCATCAGAGAACCAGGGGAATCAAGTCCTTCCGGCGACTTTGAGAATCATCATCTTCAGAAGTCGAGCAGAAAACAACTCGGTCTGCTGGCTTCCAGATCACCCCCTCAGTGGAAGTCGAGGACGAGACAAACCAACACGTCTTCGACCTCACAAAGCAGGTGGATGATCTAAAAAAGAGTTACAGAGCAAGATCTTTGATCTCCATGAGGAACGAGAACAAAGGATTGCCTATCAGGCTCAAGTCCAATCCCAGCAGGACGAAATTCAAAGACTGCAAAACCTGTTACAGAAAGAACGTCACCAGCAAGTCAAACAAGATCGTGACAGAAAGGTGCCGAGACGACAGGTAGCTCAAGGGCTTCTTGCTCGACCAAAGTGACAGCTGACAAGGACCTTCTTCGACAGCTCGATTACTTCAAGTGGGAGGCTGTAAAACATGCCTCCCACAATAAAGGCCTCATTGAAGTAATGGTCGAAGAGTACAGAGTGAGGCTGAAATATGAGGAACAGCTCAAACATCACGCAGAGCAAGCTTCTAAATTTGTAGAACAAGAGGCAACAGTGAAGTCTTTGCAAGATCAGTTGCAGACCTGAAGCTCAAGTTAAAACTTGCTATGGAAACTAACCATCCTGAAGTCTCCACCCGACCAGAGGCCCCCCTGCAAACAGAGGAGTCCAGGGACAGGCAGACCTTGAACCAACCGGAGGTCTCCATCCATAGCCCGGTTCAGCCTTTGCACCGACCCACATCCAGGTTGCAAAGAGAGGAGACCACGCAAACCCAGACCTCCACACAAACCTGGAGGTCCGAGGACAGACAGACGACCATGCAACCAACCTCCACCGGTTGCATGGAGGGCCTTCGAGTTGGCATTGGCAGGAAGGGCAAGCTAATCCCGGCTCGGCCTTTGCGGCGACCCACACTAGGGTACTAACCTCGGTCACCATCCAAACCCAGGTTTGGCTAAAACTCTGCATTAATTGATTGATTAATTGGTCTCTCTAAATTGTCGTAAGATGTCCTAAGACATCTTGCAGCTATGCAATTGGCAGAAATATAACCTAACATTATATAAGCACTGTTCAGGTAAAATCACTCAGGTTTATTCATGCATTGTGCACAATGCAGAGAGCTCATAAGACGATCAATAATCAAGCCAGTCTGGATGCAAAGCTCACAAAACTCCCCAGGCAGAGACTAACACCTAAGTTTTATGCAAGAATAAGGAATCAAAATCCCTCGACTGAACATCCGAGGACTATTTGGGTTAAATGTACGAGATTGGATGGTTGCACGGGAACCAGGCCGACTCGCACCTTGATTTGATTCCTTATCCTTGCATGAAACTTAGGTGTTTGTCTTTGCCTGGGAGAGTTTTGTGAGCTTTGCATCCAGACTGGCTTGATTATTGATCGTCTTATGAGCTCTCTGCATTGTGCACAATGCATGAATTAACCTGACTGAGTGATTTTACTTGAACAGTGCTTGGAAGTAATTTTTTTCCCCCACAACAATTCCTATTAACTAAAACTTAATTTGGATCTAACCTCTAAACGTTACCCAAATGAATGAGTCCATCATATTAGGACCAGGCTTTGGTCCTAATATGATGGAACTAATGAAGTGTTTCTCACTTCCCCTCCTCAGGTGGATCACCTGCCCTGCATGTTTTAGGGGGCCTGAGAGAGGAACTGAGAAACACTGACCTAATGTGACACTGGACATATAAAGGTGCGTTCACACCAAATGCGTTTTGAGCATCAGGTGCGTCTGGTTTGCATTCAGTCTATGTGGAGGCGCTTTGAGCGACTAGCGCGGCGCAATTTGAACCGTTTGGAGCGTTTGACACGTCCAGCGCATCCAACACTCCACATAGACTTTGAATATAAACCGGCCTGACGCTCAAAACGGGTTTGATGTGAATGGACCAGTAGAATGTTCGGTTCCACTGGTAACAATGACATCAGCAGTGATGACATCACTCTTTGATGCAGTAAATGAATCTGTCTCCTGAGTGAAGCACACAGGCTGTTTTTACAGACCCGTTCCTGTTTCAGACTTTTAAGTTCTAAGTTGTGAATCTTCTACATGTTAAAATTATCTGAAAGCAGAATAAATCCAGTACAGATTCACATTCTCAGGTAAGAGAGACTCACCTGGTATGAAGTTCATTTTTCAGTACTGGAATTACACCCAAGTTAAATTAGTTTAATCAAAGGACGTCATGAATATGTGAGCGTGTGCTGAGTTCTATAAAATACTTTGTTCATTCAAGTTTCCCCTGCAATTATTCCTTTGGCTTGTTTGGGTTTTTTCCTTGCCGATCAGCCTCATTCTTTTTCCTCTTAGTTTTCAGACGTTTCCTCGTCTTTTACTCAGCATGTGACACAACCTGATAACAACAACGTTCGTGTTATAACTCATGTCCCGTCTGCAAACACTCTATGGTTTGAGACGTGCGTTTGTCTAACCACAGTTGTATCTTTTTTACTGTGCAAGAGTTTAAACTTAGAACTTCCTAAAAGGATTGTTTGGAAGTGCAATATTACCTCTGAAGAGGCTTCCAAATGATATTCCTACAGATATTTTAAGTTTTTTATTGACTTTATTATGATTCTGTTACTTTGTGACATGAACGAGACTTTCAATGCTCACCACAAACCCACAGTAAAGAAACACGTCGGGGAATTAAAAAAAAAGAGAGAGATAAAGTGGAGAAAAGGTATTGGCCGTTCCTTTCATCTCCAATGGCTTTCACATAGACAAAGTATGGTTTATCATGCCCTGTGTGTGGTTGTGAATTGTAATCTTGAGGTATTGCAAGTTTATTTATTGTACAAATAAAAAGATTAAAGCTTACCTGTCTTCTCTCTTGTATCGTGTTTTATACCGTAGCCCGGAAACTTGTTTACAAGTTTTTGTGTAAAAGGAAAAAGAAAAGGTAAATTCAGCAGCAGGAGCCTCTGGGCACAACTAGACATTAAACCTATACGCATATTTTGTTTTCAGACTGGCTGGGGGTGAGGGTGGGCAAAATCCTATTTATAGTTTTCCAGAGACTAGAAACAAAAACACGCACAATTGGAAGCGTTTTTTTTTTTTTTTTTTTTTGTACTGTTGTAAGCATTAAACAATCAACCATATAAGCGGAGACACATTGTTGATGTTGTCATTATAAAATAACTTGCAATTAATTTTGGCAAAGATCAATATGATGTTCACAGGTATTGGAGCGTTTGTTGTTAGGAACTAAAATAGTTACTTTTAATGCAACTTAGTCTCTAAATCAAGTAGTCAGTAATCTAACTAAGTTACTTTTTCAAGAGTAATCAGTAATCTGATTAGTTACTTTTCCAAAGTAACTTTGCCATCACTGGCAATGAAACACTTTAGCGCAACTCTTTAGTTTAGTTCATTCATTCGTCCCGCTTCCCGTTGCTGCTCCGGTTTAAAGGAAACGCTGTTTATGATACAGGGACATAAATCGTGTGAATTCAGACAAAGTCGCTCATTTGATCCACACGTTAGGAGGGAGGCGAGTTGGTTTCCACGCCAGCCGTTTCCTACTTCAGCAAATGCTGCCACATGAGCCCAAGACGCGCGTTACCTTCTCAGACAAATTACATCTCGGTGGAGTCGAAGCCATGAATAAAAAACGCAACTTTGGAAAACCATTTCAGTCCCTCACTTCCGACGTCTGTCATGGCGCCTAAAACCGTTGAGTCATGTGGCTGCAAAGGGTCAGCAGTGGGGAAAATAAACAAAGGTATTTTCCCCACAGTTGTTGATGAGCGCTGCCGCCATATTGGATCTCGAAGTCAGCGTTTGGAAAATTTCCAGACTTTCGGAGTAAACTTGATGGAGAAACAGGAGATGTTTCACTTAAAAACAACAACAAAAAAGCATCTGTCCCAAACTTTCAGTCAGTGTACCTTTATTTTTGGGATGCAGTGAGTGATTGTCATTGGAGAACATCGAAAGCTGGCAGAAACGCTGCGTCACCACGAAAACTGCTGTTGGGACCGACTTCTTCCAGCACGTCTGGCTTAATAAGTCGAACAAAATGTTCATCATTTAAGTAAGTATTTCAATCATCTCTAATCAAATTATTTACAAATCAGTTATTTTATTTCAAAAAGAGCAATTATGGAGATGAATAACGGATCTGATCTTGTATTAGCAGATCAAACAGCTTGACGTTAACTCAATGATCATTTATATTTAGTGCATTTCTGTTCATTCAACTGCATAGATATAAATATATATATATATACTGATTTATAAAAGAGCACTTTAAAAATCTAACAGCAACAAGATTGTTTTGGTTAATTCACTGAACATTAATAAGAGGCTGACATTTAGTAACAACCAGCTTATGCGACATGAAACCTTTAAGCTCCATGTTACATTTAAAGGCTTTAGTAAAACATCAGTGTCGTTTTTACGTCCTAAAAACACAAAAACGACATGTAAACTCATCACACATTCTTTACAATGTTTGAGTGACAAAAATCCCTGAATCATCTTCAAAATCTGGTGTTTGTATATAAAATTATGCACAAATTTCAGCTTCATCGAGTCACCAACTGGAGACCAGCCAGTTGGCAGCTCAAACATTGGATTTTTCCATTTCCGATCCGCTGACAGTAACCAGCGGCTCTCTCTGGCGTGGAAGTTGTTCCCATGTGAAGAAGACTAAAAGCTATTTGCAGCACCGGTAAAAATAAATTCAAATAAAGAATTTAAAAAGAAGTTGGGTTTCTTTGGCTCCTCTAGGCTGAAAGAGGGAAGAGAGCGACACCTTTAGAAGGAAACAGGAAGGTGGAGAACAGCAACATTACCGTTTCAATTAAATTATTTGAATTTCTTTCTAAGACAGGAACCCAGTTCCTCCATTATTATTATTATTATTATTATCATCGTCGTCACACTTCTGATTGAACTTTCAACCTCAATCTGTTCTGGAACAGTCTGGATTTGGAAATGTAAGGCACCACAGGGCAGAGGTCACCAAACTATTCTGGTTCACAAAATAACAACAGTAAAGACTGTCAGCTGAGTAAGCCAGCAGAAGTCTATTGATAACAAGATATCTTGTATTAATTAGCACAGGGTGATTTTCAGTGTTGTAATATATGAATATTTTATCACTAAAGTTTCTTTGGTTCTCGTTTTTCTCTCTCTCTCGCTTTGAAATAGAAGCAGACTTCAAGGTTATTCTTGTCTCTCTCCCCACCCATCTCTGGGTTCTTTGCATTTAAAATGAACTCAAAGCGATCTAGAACAAACTTTTTCATATCTACATCAGTCGGAAAGCCGTAACACTCCACATGTGAAAGGAAATCTGCCGAGCTTCACCTTCATATTGACATTAGCATCGTGGTATATTGTATTTCTCAATCTTATGTGATTTTGGGGTCCCAGCGCTGACATCGGGGAATCATTTCTGTAGGAATGCTGTTTAGCTTGCTGTGCTAACTGCGCTAATCGCTCATAGAAGACATACACTGGTGTCGCCTCTGCTTTTAGTGCACATGATGACCGGTCATGTCAGGAAAATAGATATTCAGTAGCGTTCTTATATTTTCTTATGCTAAAGTTGCAAAAAAAACAAAAAACAAATACAAAATAGGCAATCAGATTGGCTTCACTAAAACCCAAGATCAAGTATCAGCAACTGAACTCTGATTGGTGGGCCTCTACTCTCAGGAGCCCACCACATACCACATAATAGTTTCTCTTGCTTTTTGGCAAATGAGCCTGAATTTAAAAGGCACAGGGAATTGACTGAAGGCAACAGATTTGTTTGGGTCTAGAAAACTTAAAGGCTTTGTTTGAGTTTCTCAGGTGAGCTCTGTCTGCCTGGTCTGTGGGAGCAGTAGAGCCACCAGGCCTCCCGTCAGCAGCAGGGCCGACACCAGCAGGATGGGAACGGTGCAGCTGGAGTCCACCAGCTTCCCGAAGACCACGTTCCCCATGATGGCCGCCACTCGGCCCACTCCGGTGAAAAAACCCAGGGCCGAGGATCTGGGCAGGGAGCAGGTGGGAGAGGAGAAGTGTTGGATGAAACCACATGAAACAAACAATCGGTGGAGTTTGACGTTTCTGAGCCGGGTGTTACCGTAGCTGGGTCGGGTAGAGCTCGGTTCCCACCACGTCCAGAGCATTCCAGGCGATCACAGAGACCCCACTGAATATGCAGGACAGACCCAGACTCTGGGCTTTGGTCTGGACCACGTAGATGAGGAAGACGCTCAGACTGGACACAATCAGGCTGCAGGCTGAGCGGCGGACCAAACAGGGAGAAGTTAGGCTTCACCAACCCAAAATTAAGACTTTTTAAGTCCACTATGACTTAAATTTAAGACCGGAATCACGACAGAAATGTGCTAAAGAAAGGAAAGCTATTGAGGAAGAAGAGATTTCTGCTCTCAGATCAATGCTAGCAGCAGTAGATCAATGCTAGCAGCAGTAGATCAATGCTAGTAGCAGTATGTAACATAAGGATGCACAGACATCCTGTTGCTCAGATGTCAGATGCTAGAGAGCGAGGAGACTGAAGTAGGAAGCAAACAGTTTAAGAGAAAACGGTTAAAGCGGGCCGACTGGATTTTCTTAGAAAGAGGCAAACAGTCTAATAAAAGTCAAACTCACACAGCAGAGTCTTTCCGCCGGTGCTGTCCATGATGAGGATGGTGAAGATGTTGCCTGGCAGGTTGGACGCGGCAATGATGAAGCCCTCCATGTAGACTGTGAGGAAGAGGAAGAATGCGTGAGAAGATCAGAAAGGAACGAGGAGAATCCCACTTCCTGGGATATTATCTGTGATTTTTCTTTCCTTTCACAACCATCAGACTGTCTCTCAGATGAACACCTTACATAGCGGTCTGCTACTCGGCTGTAAAGCAAAACAAGCAGATTTGAACCTCCAGGAAAAGTCAAATTGCTGCTTTGAAAACCCACCTGCTGTCTTGACCGGGTAACAGCTTTGGTTGTTGAGCGCAGACGGCACAGAGACGTTGACGCAGGGAGAGCCGCCGCTGCTCTCGATTCGAGCGAAAAGCTCTGGGAACCACATCCACAGCCCATAATACCTACAACCAAACAAGACATGGTAGAAGTGAGGCGATCAAAACGGCCTGGAGTCGGCCATTGTTAATAATCACACTTTGGTGTGATCAAAGGAGCATATTTTAGCTTAGCATTAGCCATTATTTAGTTGCAGCTGCAGATTCGGTGAATCAGCAGAGAATGTTGTTCCCACGTGTGTTGTATTCACTCTGGAGATGTATAAAAACCCCCTGAAGGAAGCTCAGGACAGACCTTGGCTTCTCAAACCCTCAAACTTAAGACTTTTAAAGTTGTGCATTAAATTTAAGACCTGCATCGTGACAGAAATGTACAAATGGAAATCACATATCGGTAGCCTCAACCACCTTGAGTCACAAAACGTGTGACTTTTGCCTGACAGTAAAGTCTCTATAGAGAATATACGAGATTTAATTTTGCCATACAAAATTTAAGACTTGTAATTGGTGTATTTAAGGCCAACTTACATTCTTTAAACAAATTTAATACGTTTTAAGGCCTTAATTTTACACATGAATCTTTGTCCTGGCAGAGAAAAGACCTGAACTCACCCAAACGAGATGCAGTAGAAGATGATGAGCAGAACGATACTGCGGGCTTTGACAGAACCGCTGAACATCAGTCTAATAGGAAGCAAGCCCTGCGAGTTCGATGAATATAATAAATTTAATAACAGTAACAGATAAAGTGAACAAAATATTCTCAGGATAAATATTTTCATGTGTCACAAAATCACTGTAAAGACGGTAAATTACATTTGTTTTTAACTAATTAGTGTTTGTTCTAGTCCTTTTAGCATTACCTCTTTTAAAACACTCATGAGATGTTTTCTCTTTGCATCGCCAGATGCCGTCTCTCTGGTTTCCCCTCCTGGCTTGGAGTTTGTACGCAAAGCGAATTCCTTCAAGAAGAGAGAGAAAGTTAGCTTGCGAAGAGATAAGCCGAGCTACAAAGCTGATGCTGCGTACCGGAAAAGCATTTCCTGTTCCCTTCATGTTCAGCTCAAACATCAGCCTGAAGACACGGATCGCCTCTTCTCCCCGACCCGCCTGTGAAAACAGAACCCAGCCATGAGAGTCAAAGGCCTCTTCTGAAGAAGAAGCGTCGGCGAAACGTTCGTCTGCCCTCCCGGTTACCTCCATGAGGAACTTTGGGCTCTCAGGCATGAGCAGCTTGAAGAGGATGGCGGAGGAGGTGCTGGGAACTGAGCACAGCACCACGAACAGCCTCCAGCTCTGGAAGTCCAACGTTCCCAGAGAGAAACGGGCCCAGGTTCTGGGAATCACTAGCCAGGCCAGACCTACAAAAAAAAAAAAGAACAGACCTCACTTTCATTCCACTATATGTCCAGTTTAGTGCTTTTTTTAGCCGTTTCAGATAAAAACAGCCATCTTAATGCTTGTATGTTTTTTTTCCCTACTGAATTCATTTTTTTAATTAGTTTTTTGGCCCCAGTCCAGTTTATTGTTCCCACCTGCAGCCAGGATGTTTCCTGCCATCCAGAAGGTGGCCAGAGCGCTGATCATGGCACCTCTCTTCAGCCGGGGCATGAACTCTGAGAAGTAGGAAAAGATGACAGGGATGGACCCACCCACCCTACAGAGCAGAACGTGAGAAAAAAAATGTAAAATCAGTCTAACAATGTTCGCAAGGGTAAATATTAAGCTTTAAACATTTTCTGCAGTTTTACTTCTCCAAGAAAATGTCCAGGTATATCTGGTTGGGGGAAACAATTTCAAAATGACAGAATTGCACTCCAGAACAGCAGGGGGCACTATTTCACGTTAGCCACCGTTTCACGATTCATGTTTTTGTCTTTAGACATCAACATTATATTAATACTCAAATGTTTAGTGGGTCCCTCTTATCTAATGGATAAGATGAATACCAATAAAGATTTTAAAAATATAGAAAATGACAACCATGAGACCAAGGCCAGCGTAGGAAGTAGCGCCCCCTGCTGTTCTGGAGTGCCATTGTGTTATTTCCAAATATTGGCACAATGCCCGACTCGACCCTTTTCAGATTCAGCCAGATGTCTCTCAAAATTTCTTCATAAAGTCCAAGAGATGCAACAAGACATAGCCTTGTGGACAAAAATCCAATGGCTTTCCAATCAATGAAGATGTCACAAGTCACCACTCTTCGGTGTGGCAGTTGTTACTGAGAGAAGACTCAAAGGGAGCTATTTTTGATATCAGCAAGGTACTTAAAAGAAGGCCAAAGGAAGCCAGAACGAAACTTCTGAAACGTTTATAATTATTGCCTTACAAAAATAGGCCTGCTTAAAACGTTTTAGAGGTTTGAAACCTGGCGAACAGACCAGACATCGTTCACGTCTCGGGTGAATCCTGTGCTCACCCGATGCCACTGATGAACCGCAGCAGCAGGAAGAGCCAGAACCATGGAGCCGCGCTGGCCAGCCCTCCGAACAGCCCATTCACGGTCAGGGACACAACCAACACCTTACGGCGCCCCCTCTGGTCAGCCAGGTACCCCCACATGTAGCCGCCTACCATCATTCCTAAGAACATAAAAGCATTACAGTGGTACAGTTAAAAATCAACTGCAGGTCTGCGTGTTGCTGCCAACTTCAAACTTCATTTCCTTTTTTCTTAGCAAATTGGATTTACTTGAACATTTAAATTGAAATGTAGAAGTACACTCCCAAAATTACATGACTACTTCAAATCTGTTGATCCATGCTCAAACTTTCACTCCTGCCTGAAAATTTTTAAATTGAACACTTCTTAAATTTAGATTTGAGACTTTCTGCGAGCCACTTTTGAAGGTTTTGAAATCGAGCTGACGGTTTCTCTCAAGACATTTCAGCTCCAAGGACGTTTATCCGACTTAAAATGTTCTTTGAATCTTGTATGAGAAACAGGCTTTCTGCCCCGTAATGTCCTACACAATCCATCTATGATCAATTTTCAAATTGTCCGGCGCAGCAGAAAGCTGATTATTCTCATTTTCTCCTCTATTATATTTTAACACTTAGAAAAGCGCTCATCACAGTGAATATTGTGCACCAGTTGATCTGTGTGTGCGTTTATTAAAGAATAATTTGTTTTTACAAATTTCCTCTGGAAAATGGGAATTTGGTATAAAACTTAAGCAAATGTCCAAACATTCCCACTGCGGGCAGTGGCTGGAAGTTAATGAGAAACGACGTTCAAACAAGAGCAGAGCTTTGCGACATCTGTTGCACAATTCAAACAATAGATGGGTTAACAGCGAAAAAGCCCCTGCTGAATTCAGAAACGAGCTTCGGTCTGTTTGCTCAGCGGGATCTTCACACAGCGCTCATCCAAACAGAGCGGAAGCAGAATTTCGGACTGTTAAACAATCAGACGATCGTTGCACTTATTTGACGTTTCACCGAGGAAAATGCTGGCGGTGAGCAGGCCCATGTCCGAGGAGCTCAGCAGCAGGTCGCAGCGCGCCGTCGGCAGCAGGAAGGACACGCAGAGGATCTCCACGGCGTCGCTGGCGTTGGCCCAGCCGCACACAGCCAGCAGGAGCCAGTGGAACAGACCAAAACCTGAGAGCAAAACCAGAGCAAACAGGGAACAAGCACAGAGAGACGTTAGCTAATAAAGCCTTAACCAGCAGCCATTAAAGGCTTTTCTGGTTCAAGATGCACACAGTCAGCAAACACGACTGTGTTACACAAATAAGTGATCCGATCCGAGTGCAAACGCTTACTCAAGTTTAACAAACGCCTCTCGCATCCAGTAATACGCTAAACAGGTAGAGTTGCATTTATGCAGCATTTATTTTGACTCTATATGACATTACTCAAAAAAAAAGCTGTAATAGTAAAACGCTCCACTTGTGATAGTAAAACTGTTGTCCGAGTGTAACAGCGACAGGATGCATAAAGAGAGAAAGAAAAATGACCTGCTTCTTCGACCGCCTCCTCATAAGTGAGTCTTTTTGTTGCGCTCCCTCCAGATTCATCTGAGATGGCTGATGACCTCCTGTCGAAAATCACCTCACCTGTAAATCGGAAAGACATCATTTTTTCCCCCAACTTTTTCATTGATGTATGGAAAATAAAACCTGCAAATGATCAGATAAAGCAATCTAACTGATTGTTTAGACTTTTATTTTTATGTAAGGACTGCAGAGGGTTAATTTCCCACACAGTTACAAGAAAGAATAACAGTTTTTTTTAATGTTCCCTTTTGTTAAACATCTACATTTAAAATGTCTAAACTGAGAAAACAAAGATGATCTGAAAATAAACACACTGTGAAATACTTCAGTTTGTAGGAATTATTTTTGCAAGACTTGTCCACTGCAATGGGCAACAATAACAAAAGAAATGTAATCAAATGCCTTTTTTTATCAAAAAAAAAGAGAGAGAGAAAAGTATGCCCACTTACTGTGCATTTATTAAGGATTTGCAACAATAAAATAATGTTTGCATGTGTGAAATATAAACACGTCCCAAAGCAGGCACAATATCAGTCCTAAAAATCACTAGTAAGTGGGTCACAATCAAATATTGATTATCAGGCACAAAAAGTAAAAAAACAAAAACAAAAAACAAAAAACACACAAACAAAAAAGAAATGAAGTGGTCTGCATCCTGCACACAGACCCACCGGTTAGTAATAAATGTGTCAGTTGTTCCCTGTTTGATTAATATCACATGATCAGGCTTTTGCTCCCTATTCCAAATTACGGAACAAAAGTCTACGATTCTTGCTGACACAGCATGTGGCCAATATCTGTATCGGCCAACAGTCAAAGCTACAATATTACCTTCGTATCGGCTCTGAAAAAAGTTGTATCGAACATGTATTTTAATTATCAACATGAACTTGCAAGTCATCAATAAGTTCCTCCAATCCTCTGGTCACCTCTTACACAACTGTCATCTCATTCATCTGACACTATGAGGCTAGTATTTGTTTGTTTGTGTCTATAAAGCTGTGATCGCCCCGATCCTCCTCCCCGTGCCACGGTTTGATGAAGTGATGGAGCCTCTGGCTGGCTTTTACCTTCATCAGAGTCCAGCTCGGTTGGATCCAGATGGTTTCCGCTCAGAAGCGGCCTTCGCGCCTCCTTGTCGCCGCCATTATCGTTGCGGGACATTCTGCCCACCGACAGCCCGTGGTCTCCGTGGCAACGCGGGCGGATTAGTTCAGTTCAGCTGCAGCTGTGTGTGGGTCCCATGACACCTGAGCCTAGCTTGGCTAACGCTGAAGCTAACCTGCCCGAGAATTAGAGGACGAAGAAGAAGGAGGAGGAGGAAGAGGCGGAGGAGGACCAGGAAGTAAAAGGGCAGCGGTGGTTTACACGTCCAGAACGCCGTGTCTCTGCTCCTCCTGCTCGGCGTGGCGAAGCGACAGACAGCGGGCTGAAGCCGAAGCACAGCCGGTCGGTGCTCTGACCTCGGTGTTAGCGGCTAACTCTCGGGCGACACGCCAACGAATAACCGCTTCGTGGACGCAGAGGAGGTAGCGTTACCTCCACTTCGGGTTTAAAACAGGAAAAAAAAGAAGAAGAGGGAGACGGTGAGCGAAGATGGCGACCAGCTCAGAGCGCAGTCCTCCTCCGTTCCCGGATTCCGAGGACCAAGATGCTCTGGAGTCCGAGGAAGTCAGAGGCCGAGACAGCGACGAGGACGACGCGGAGGAACTTTTCCTGAGCGCGGTACGTTTCCTCGCAGCTGCCGCTCGTTGCTATCAGGCTAGCTGATATCGACGGGGAGGCAACCAAGGGGAGCCGACGGGGGAAGGCTTCCAGGAAAAATTTCAGTCGACGCTAACCAACATTTATCTACTCGGTCCTTCTGGAGACGTTAAAGTTAACGCGCTCCGCTCTCTAGCGATGTTTGGCTCGCCGCGGTCATTTCGTGCTAATGCTCGGCGCCTCCAGGCAGCTCTGAGCTGCATGAAGTTAAAAGCTTCTTCGTAAAAGTGACACATTATCCGTGATTTGAGCAGCGTGGTAACTCACGCTCAGCTTCCCTGTGTGGTCACTGATATGTGGGTTAAAAAAAAAACAAAACAAAAAAAAAAGAAGTTGAAAGTATTCACAGCCACTTCCACAGTGAACTTGGAGTGAAAGTGATTTTCGGGTGTGCGGGTTTTTTTTCCCCGTACGTGGGTAAAGTCTGAACAGACTGTGCTTCTCTTTCTGTTTTTCAGAGGCTATTTTTCACTATTATTATTTGCATATTTGTAGATTACATTCAGTTTGCAGTAAAACTGGCTCACGCTTCCTCCTGTCATGTGAGGACGCTGGGGTCACCTGGTCAGAACCCGGATGTTTTCAAAGTTCACAGGATAAACTGGAAAGTTGCTGTCTGTGATTTTCTTTTTTTTTTCTTCTTCTTTTTTTCCTTCTCTCCTTTTTCCTTTCTCTCCCCTCCCAGAGTTTGACTCATGGTTGCAGGGAGGACATCAGTCAGCATTTTTGGATGTTTCTGTTTGCAGGAATCCTGTTTGCAAAGAGAGAATCAGGCTTTAGATGAGACATCCTTGTGGTTGGGCGATTTCATCAGCATTGCTTAAGAGGAGAATTATTTGCAACTACACCCAGTTTTCCAGGAGCATTTAGTGTGGTTTCCTTCTTTTGCTCTTCCTCTCTTTCTCTCTCTCCTTTTTCTTTCCTTCTCTCTTTCTTTTTTTAATTTCCTGTCTGCAGCTGCACAAACTGTCTCCCAGACATTTCTGCTAACTGAAACATCCAAAAGCGCTGACTGATGTCCTTCCTTCCTGCACCTCTGATTATTCATGGAGCTTCTTTAGAAATGTGGACTGTGGTTGCGTTGTGGACGTCTGTCCTAGTCAAACACTTTAGCATTGAGATGCTGTTTTAGGCTGGAATGGCTTCACTTATAGGCTAACTCCTTTTAGCACTACTTGAACACTACAGTAGTCTTCCAAAGTCACAGAACATTTTAGAAGCCAATATTAATCTCCAGTTGGTCAAGAGAAGAAATTTGTCGTCCATTTTTTGCGAATGTTGTTTGTACGTCAGATGTACTGGCGTACCAGAAACATATGAATACAAAGGTTCTGGCCAGAACTTTTGTATATAAAATAAAAATAAAAAACACTAACATTCACAAAGTTGCTCTAGATTTTTGTGATAGTTGTTCCTCCACCCAACCTCTAAATGTCCATCAGGTTAAAAACTTAAAACAGAGTGTTTTAATGGTTTGTTTTACTGCAGCCACAAAGCTTTGTATGTTTTATTGGGATGAGTCATTATATCGTAGAACCAACTTTCATTGTGGTTCCAGCTGCCTTTTTATGGTACAACTCTACCAGCTTTACACAGACTGTGAAAGCTTTTGCTCATTTTTCTTTGCAAAGCATCTCAGGCTGAGACTGGATAAATATTAGTTTACAAGCCTTGCTACAGCTTCCAAAGCAGTTTTACTGTCTGAACTTTGGCTGAAAAAATGTGTCATGAGATTGTGATCAGACACTTTTATGCTGATGCTGCTAAAACCAGCTACCTTCAAAAGTCACCAAATCCATCATTGCAGTTCACCACATCTTCAGTATGAACACCCCGGTTCTGGAGGGACACAACAGTTCACACATAAAGTTGTGAAGTAATTTAAAGCAGGGTGGTTTATGAGCAGTATTACTTCAACATAAATGAACGCAAGTAAAAGTAAAAAGCATCCGTCCAAGAAATCACTCACGTAGGATTAAAACAGTATTTGGTAAAAAAAAAAAAGTGTACTGAAGATACTGTGAAAATAACACCTGATTTAATTTAAAAATGATGTAACCAGACAGTCAAAAAAAAGTTACATCGTCAACTTCTTACAATTCAGTCCTAAGTCATTTTTGTCAAAAGTGAAATTTGACTTGGGCAAAATTTAAATTGCAATGTGCAAATTTAGGTATTTTAAAGTAAAAAAATAAAACAACTTCTAAAAATGTACAGCAGATTTTTTTTTCCCAACATAAAACATATGAAACCATTACTTGAAGTAGGTAATGTATATCTGTGAGAACAGGGTAAAGCACTCCCAGTAACAATATCTACTGTTTACTGTAGCTTCACTTGGCTTCCAAATGCTTCAGCAAATGGAAAGTAATATTAGAGAAACACACCTTGTGGGAAAACGAGAAGTTTCACTTTCATATAAACTGTGTAGGTGTGCATGTCATTTTTGCTGAATTGAAGCTCATTCTTCTGTCAGTGAAGTTACTTACAGAATCCAGAACTTTAAGTCGAGGGACTCCATTTGCGGATTATGTCGATTTAGTGTCCCAGTAAAAATAATGGTGAAAATGTGCATGCTCCACTTTAAAAGATGAAAGTTCATAATTTTTCCATCCATAATTATGCTCCATTTTGTGCATTTTGTCGCATAAAAATACATAAACAGTGAATAAATTATTAAAGCATGATGGGTGGAATGTGCTGAATAGTTGATTTTTTTATTCAAAATTGATTTTAATGGTAAATTACAAAATAATAATGCATATGACTGGGTCATATGGCTTTAAAAAAAATCAGATTTTTGTTTCAGACTCGATTTGATTTCTGATTTAATATTTTTACTTATTTTTTTCTTGGTTTCTTATTTTAAAATATAAATTACAAATGACAGCAAATATTTTCAAAAGGTGGCTTTTATTTCAGTCATTCCTTCTGTGAGTTGAACGACGCAGCATCAGAGCCAGACTGCGAGAAATGTTGTTAATATTAGCAAAAAAGACACAGTTTTACCAGGAACAAGTCTTAAAATGACAAAAAAAAAGAGGTACGGTAATTTTTAATAAAAAAAAAAAAAGATTTGATAGTCATCAGGATGTGATGTGACCAGCACAGTTTGTTTTTCTCCAAAATTGAAACAGTAGCAGGACTTGGACACATTGTGTCCAAGTCCTGCTACTGGCAATAATTTGTTGCTGATCTGTGGAAAGATTTTGTTGTATCAAGTGTTAGCCGTAAAACTGACGTACAATATCAGAGCATGCTCAAGACATTTTTATTATATTATTATTACATTTATTTATAAATTTCTACTTTATTCTGGTAATATTACAATTCTATTGTCTTAAGCAACTAATAAAAAAAATCAACCATCATAATGATCCGTAGTAGAGATGATCTGACTTCAACGTCAAATTAAGCAGAAGCTATAAAACACACGAATTAAAACAAGATGGCGGCCCGTGGCGTGTCGGTGTTCTATCAGATCATCATACATGTAGTATGATGTATGATACTGCATACATGATACTGTATCATACTGTTATGGACTTCTTGATGCGGACTTCCTACTTATCAAGAAGTTCAGCATACTCACAAGTTACGAGGAAAATAAGTCAATAAGTTGTTTTCAGTGATGACTAGATACATATACCTGCACTGTCGTGGTTTCAAAGCAGAAAGCAGCTGCAGCCAACTACAAAACACGCCCGTGTAAAACTCGCCTCCCTGCTGCTTGATGATAGTCTGACTAGTTAATCACCAAGTCTGGATGTCAGACAGCTGTTAATGACAAAGTGTATTGCGAGCTGCGTTTCTATGTTGCTGATTGAAAAAAACCATATGGTGATGACGGTGTATACTGTCAGGATATGCTGACCTGCCAGAACACCAGCATCGCTCTGAAACACCACAACTGGAGGAAAGAAAATCCAGACTTTCCAAAACTGATGTCTTTATAAACTTGATGAATGCATAACAATGCCTCTCCTTTGTCTCAGGCCAATACGCCCATGGCCAAAATGGAGAGCCCATCAGCACCTGCCAGTCAGCTCGTTGACCTCCTGATTGACCCTTTGATTGAGCCTCTCAGCAGCTCTACAAATAAACCCTCCTCTGAGCTTTTTGAGGACCTGACAAACGACACAGCGGGCAAGCCGTCGGACGTGGCCTCTGATGAGTTTGTTGACATTCTGGGAAGTGAAGCTGCAGCACAAAGAGAGGAAGTTGATGTTACGGTGGAAGCAGCGGCGGCGGTGGCTAAGGCTGAAACGAGCCATGGCGCAACAGATTTACTTGGCGATGGAGAAACGAGAAGTGCCGCTGAACAGGAAGCGACTTCTGTCACTCCAGTCATGGACCTCGGCGGCTCGCAGCAGACACCTGCCAGTGCAAAGGTCACCGACCCACTGGAGGACCTCCTGAGCGATCCGCCGGCCACCGCCACGTCAGACACCCACAAACCCGGCGCCGCAGTGGTCGACCTCTTCGACGACGAGGGAAGCGACATTTTCACCGGAGCCCCGTCTAGCAAACCCTCCAAGCAGCCTCAGAAGAGCCTCTTTGGCGAAGCGGACGAGGATCTGTTCGCCGAGCCACTGGGAGCCGTAGCAAAGAAAGCCGCAAGTAAGGAGCAGAAGGAGAAATCCGTCCCGGCTTCAGCTGGAGAAACTGCACACATCTTCACCGAGGAGGCGGTCGGTACGGTGCCAAACGCCAGAGCGGTGAACTCCAAAACCAACGGAATCCCTTCTGAAGAGGACTCTGATATATTTGCAGGTAGGCAAAAATTAATTTTTCCCCCGGTAAATGTGTAAAGATGAAACTTCAGCCGAGTTTTTACGTCTGCTTTCTCTCTTCGTCTGACAGAAGCCACAGTGGAGCTTTCCTTGGACAGTCCGATGATCGAGAGAAGGAAAGAGGCGACGACCAAACCGCCTGCTTCCGCCTCGACCTCCGTCTCAGCCAGCCTCGCCAAGCCGCAGTCGGCCGCCGTGGAAGAGGTACACACAACCTTCCATTTGGAATCTCTTCTTGACCCAACTTCGTCTTGGAGGAAGAAGCAGCTGGGACAAGGTTTCACTCTTTTTGTCTAAAATTTGTTTCAGCTGGAAGAGGAGGAGGAACAGGAACTTGAAGATCAGTTCGACATCTATGTCTCCGTTAAAGACCCTGAGAAAATAGGTGATTAGCATTTGTTTCTTTCAACAAAGCTCGACAAATCCTCCGATTCAGCTGACAGTTTAATTTTTCTTGTCGTTTTCTTCTAGGGGATGGCATGAACGCCTACATGGCTTATAAAGTATCAACACAGGTATGAAATGAGCTGTGGTTGACACCGCGAGCTAACAAGTTGGCTGTGCTAACAAGGTAGCTGTGCTAACCCTAAACAGATAATCATAAATATTATTTCTGCTAAAGCGCTATAGCAATATGGTATCCAGTGGAAGCTAAACCATGTTGTCAATGACACATGTTACATCGCCCTCTTCTGGTTATAGTTTGTTATTGCACACCCATCTCAACATTTAGAAAGTGATGCATATATTATTTTAAACAGACGTTTTGCTTATGATTCCAGTTGTATAGTTTTCTCTCTTTCAATCTAAGGACATTATGCCAATATGAGAGGAAAACTGTTGTCATAAAAACTCAGACTTCTACGTTGATGTATTTACCAGTCATATAATCTTGTGGGTTCTTTTTGTTTTTCTCTCTCCAGACCTCTCTCCCGATGTTTCGCAACAAAACGTTTACGGTGAGGCGACGCTTCAGCGACTTCCTTGGCCTCTACGAGAAGCTCTCTGAAAAACACGGGCCGAACGGATTGGTCATTCCTCCGCCGCCAGAAAAAAACCTCCTAGGTAACGTTAACCCTCCACTCCACTGATATAGATCTATGTTCAGAGCTACGGTTCAGAGATGACTTTATTGGCATTTGATGCGACTGACCAACAGCATAGCACGTACATGTTGAGTGAGCACAAATCAATACGATCACAGCTTTACGAAAACACCAATTACGATAAAAACGGGATGCGATTGTCTGCGATTTCTCTGGTTTCCTGTTGGGTTTGGTCACATTGACATGTGGGACGGTTAGAGGCGTGAATATTTGTTGTCTGGCGCAGGAATGACAAAAATGAAGGTGGGAAAGGAAGATTCGTCATCGGCAGACTTTCTTGAGAGGAGAAGAGGCGCTTTGGAGAGGTACGACGGTCTGACTGTATGGACGGCTGTTAATATTTAATATTTTATCAAGACTTCTTTTGACTTTGTTTTTTTCTTTTGACTTTGCAAAGCAGAAAGTTGAGTTTTCTGGTTTCCACAGGTATCTCCAAAGAATAGTGACTCACCCAATGCTCCTCCAAGATCCTGATGTCAGAGAGTTTCTGGAAAAAGAGGAAGTAAGCAGCGTCTTTCTTTCTTTTTTTTTCCCCAGTCTGGTTCCTCTTTTTTTGGTTAGCATTGAAAGATCGGGACAGAGATTTGTTTTCCTCCCTCTTAGCTCAGAACGTTCTCTTTATCCGTCTGAGGCTTTGATGAAGTTGTGATTGTTTTCTCAGCTGCCCAGAGCCGTCAGCACCCAGGCGCTGAGCGGGGCCGGCTTCCTGAAGATGCTCAACAAGGCAACAGACGCCGTCAGCAAAATGACCATCAAGATGAACGAGTCGGATGTGGTGAGTTCAGGTCGCAAAGCTTCACTCCTGTTTTCCTCTCCTCCATTAATGCTTTGGAGTGAGCAAATCCCATCAGGTTTGCTTTAAGTTACAAACTGAGGAGTCATGAACTAAATAAAGAACCAACTGTTGATAAATAATTTGATATTTATGTTTTAAACTCAAATGCTTTAGCAGATAAAGATGGAGCTTTTTTTTTTCTTCTCAGTATTTGAACACGATGCGTCCTACTAGCCGATATTAATCTTCAGCTGTGGCCAAAAAGCTGTTTTTAGAGGTGTGAGTGTGTTTGTCAATCAAATGTTTCGGGCAGAGAAACATGAATATCAGATGTTTGTATCGGCCCAGTTTCACTTACTGGACTGATACCGATATGCTAAAATATGCTTTACAGGTGGATTCAGTGAGTCTTCTATAAAAGTTCATAGTCAAGAATAATACGGACAACCATGAACATCCTCTTTAATGAGACTGTCTTTAATCAGAGGCTTCTTCAGATTTGCTGTAATACGGACTGCTACAGGAGATCCTTCCTGCTTACAACCATCCCTATTTAAATTTCTTGAAAAAATCCTGAATTAATGTGATTCACAGTAACTTATAAAATCTCTTTGGGATCAATAAAGTAATTTTGAGTTGGGAAAAGTGTTAAAACCTCGTGGTGTTTTTGTTGTTTTTCCCTGCAGTGGTTTGAGGAGAAGCTGCAGGAGGTTGAGTCTGCAGATCAGCAGTTCAGGAAGCTCCACGCGCTGGTCGAGTTGCTCGTCGTTCACAGAAAAGGTAAAGATTTTGCTGTTGCTGTTCCTAGTCTTTGGTTCCAGAGTGTGAGCGTAACTCGACGGTGTGGTTTCCCGCCTCCAGAGCTGTCCCTGAACACGGCCAGCTTCGCCAAGAGCGCGGCCATGCTGGGCAGCGCCGAGGACAACACGGCGCTGTCCCGCGCCCTGTCGCAGCTGGCCGAGGTGGAGGACAAGATGGAGCAGCTCCACCAGGACCAGGCCGCCAACGACACCTTCAGCTTCGCCGAGCTGATTGCGGACTTCATCCGCCTGCTGGGAGCGGTCAGGGTACGCCAGGAAACCCGTCACGGTACGAAACGCTGCTTAGAGGCGACTGTGACTCTGACGGTGTCTGCCGCCTCGCAGGGCACGTTCGACCAGCGGATGAAGGCGTGGCAGCGCTGGCAGGACGCGCAGGCCATGCTGCAGAAGAAGAGGGAGACGGAGGCCAAGCTGCTGTGGGCCAACAAGCCGGACAAGCTGCAGCTGGCCAAGGAGGAGATCGCCGAGGTAAAGCCCGCTGCGATGCAGCAAGAAAATGAAACCACGTCCCATTTCCCTTTTTAAACCTTTTCTCTTTTTCTAAAAATGACATTTACTTCAATAATTCACTCTTTGAATTTTATGATGTTGTATTGGAGTCAGACCTCGAGAATTTCTGATAGTTATAGTCATATTAGCAGAAAAACCATTTAGCAGTGGAAAAGTATTATTATTATTATTATTGTTATTATTATTATTATTATAAGGAGAAAGAAAAATTAGTTTTGATCAGGAAACCGTTTACTGGTAATAATTTAAGTATTATCTATAAAATGTTTACCAGTGTATAGTTTCACCAGATGCTCAGCATTCCTCATTTTTATTGTTTTTTTTTTTTTTTTGTCATAAAAATCTCGTAGAATTCCAACTTTTTGGTAATTTAAATAAACAAACAAACAACAACCTTAGCCTGGCCCTGCCGTTGACCTGAACTGACAGTCTAAATAAATAGAAGCTTTAAAACACGCTTGTCAAACAAGATGCCGGCCTTTGGCTCGATGACATCACTCTGAGCTGTGGAAACCCAAGGAGAGCATTGATTGCGGGGATAAAACATTTTCTATAAATTAAATCGAATTAAAATGGATTTATCCTGATAGCATCCCAGCTGTTATTGTTGTTAGTTTGAATTTGTTGAGTATTATTCATTTATTACTCATTTGTCATTGTTTTCCGCAGTGGGAGGCCAAAGTGACTCAGTACGAGAGAGACTTTGACAGAGTTTCTGCAACTGTGCGCAAGGAAGTCGTCCGCTTCGAGGTCTGATTCATCTACCTTTCCAAATTCCCCGACGTTAAACACGAATAATTAATTTTTTCATTATTATTTATTATCACTAACAGAAAGAAAAGACCAAGAATTTCAAGAGACAGATAATCGTGTACCTGGAGTCCCTGCTTCAGTCTCAGCAGCAGGTGAGTCCCGTCGCTCATCACCGCCAGGATTTCTGAATTTTTTACTTCTTCTAATGAAAAAAGGAGGCAAAGTTACACCCACAGCTTGAAATACATTTGTAAACTACTGCTAATGTTGATTTAAGTCCTTTGAACACACTTCCTGTGCCTTTTTAATTTAGATATTTCATAGTGAGAGGAGAAAATTATAATAAATTCATATCAGTTTACAGTTGGGCGACTGTGGTTGTGTGGCAGAGTTGTAGGTTCGATTCCAGCTTCCTCCTGCCATATGTCGATGTGCCTCTGGGCAAGGCACTTAACCCCAAATTGCCTACCGGTCTGCATATCGGTGTATGAATGTGTGTGCGAATGAGTGAATGTGACTCTAGTGTAAAGCGCTTTGAGTGGTCTAAAGGACTGGAAAAGCGCTATATAAGTTCAGTCCATTTACCATTTACACGTTTAAAGACTGAATCATGTATCTCAAATTAAGGCCTTAAAATGTCTTTAAAAAATTATCATATCTTTATTGCTGACTGTTAGGAAGGTCCATTTCAAAATGAGTTTGCCTGAAATGATCTAAACATGTCATTAATCTAGTTGTGATAGGACTATTTATTGATGTTGTTTTATTGTGACAGGTCTTCTCTGTCAGCAAAAGTTTGAGTTGTTTGCATATAGTTATGTTTACTCTACCGCTAACTAGCTTCTATTAGCCAGCTTGCTTTTTTTTGGCGTCTATCATGGGTCCAATTTAGCTGGACAACATTCATTTTCACCACTGGCTCACTTCTGTTGCTAACTCGCACGATTCTAGGCGTTCACCATGGAAAATAAAATGACATTTTAAGCTTGGCACTGTCGGCGTTAAGGTGAGGAGCCGTTTCCTAAATCCACAAGCTGACGACAGAAGTTTCTGCTTTGCTTTGCCGGATCCCCCAAAACTGTTTGAAATATTTAGTTATTTGGTCTTGAGTTTCGTTCAAGGCAGCCTTAAAAAGTCTTTTATTTGACTCGCTTAAACTTGCAGATGCCCTGGCACAATCATCATACCAACATGGGGGGGGAAGAATTGATTAAAATCCCAAAGATAGGTTATGAATGGGTGGATGACTGACTCTAACGGTTTGCACCATTTAAACGCACCTACTGATGCAATTGTGTGTTTTTTTTTCCAGCTGATCAAGTACTGGGAGGCGTTCCTGCCTGAAGCGAAAGCCATCGCCTAACGGCCGAGCCTCTGACCGACAAACAGGCTGCCTTCTTTATACACTTTACCTCCTTTTGCCTTTAAAGCAAGAACACAAACATGTGCGTTGAAAAGGGAGATACAATCAACATGTTTTTTTTTTCTTTTACATACAATCATCCTTAACACATAGCTCTGTATTCTATTGTATTAATAACTGTATATTTTCATTTATCCTTACACTATTTTCTTACTAGAGCAAAGAGTATAAAGAAAGAGGAAAAGTTTAGCCCTGTGATTTTTCAGTAGCGCCCTCTGCAGGTGATGAGGAGCTCCTTCCAGCCTGAAGCTGAAGGTGGCCAAGAGTCTCACTCTGCTTCTCGCTTGTAATAATGACTCGAAAACAAAAAAAAAAGGGATCAAATAACTTTTCTGAGCACTTCTAGCCGCTGGATAAACGTCCTCGAGTTCCAGCCGTTTTACTTTTCTTCACAGGTTGAAGTAGTGGGGAGGGGGATGAAACTGGTCACACGTCGTGTTTGTGGGTTTGATGTTTTCCAGTGGGATTTAAGTCATGCAAAACCATGTGTCTGTGCCTTTTTACTTGGAAATGATGCTACTTTGAGAGAATTTTGTACATGTAGAGGCTTTGTTGCACTTAGTTTAAAAAAAATAAAAAGAGAGACAGTCCTGATGTGTTTACCTGAATGGAAACTTGCTGAGTGCATGTGGAACAGGCGAGCATGTCTGGGTCTGTTTCTCACATCGGAGTTTATGATCCACTCTTTTACCAAACAGCCACTCAGATGTGTCAACTAAAAGCTGCCAGGATTATTATTTTTTTATCTGTAGTTTTTTTTTCTTTCTTTTCTCTCTCTGCTGACGGTGAAACATCTCGGCTCGGTTCTGCTTCTTTCCTTTTCTTTCACACCAAATGAGCCGCTCCCACCTGTCGCTGTTATCAAATTGAAGTTTCTCTGATAGAAACATGATCCAGTTGCATCTAAATTCAAAATAACTTTATGTGCATTTTTTTCCCTCATATTTTATTTTTACTTTAAGTTCAGTCATTTTTGCTGCTTCAGGTTAAATTACCACTCTGTCAAATTTGCAGAAGTAATTTTTCCAGAAGTTTGAGTCGTGTCTGTTTGCATCATCAGAACGTTGATTGAAAGTTTGTTTTTTTGGAGGGTTTTATCTGTTTTGGGTTTTTTTGTGGCGGACTCGTATGGAAGCAAGGCTTGAACCAAAGAAGAGCGTTGAATATTTTTCTGATCGAGTCACGAGTTATTTAGCATTACCGTAAAAAAGAACTGGCGATTGTTTTGGGTTTGTTATTCAACAAGAATGAAGGAGTGACAAATCAAGAATGTGTTAAGCTGGATATCTGAAGCGTCACCTGAATCTCCCACCCGGTTCCTGCTTTAACGTCTCTGTTCCTTACAAGAAAAACTCAACTTCATCACCATTTTCGCATGGAAAATCCTGTAATGTTCTGAGATTTCTTTGATTTTTTTTTCTCTTCTTCTTTAGACCCACAACTTTTTTTTTTTTTTTAAGATATTTCTACACCACATTACTAAAATTGTCTGTATGGCCTCTGTCATTGTAACGTTGGGACATATACTGTGTCATAGATTCCTTTAAAAAAAAAACAAATCAATAAAAGTTGCACTGTTTACTCTTGAAGATTTCATAAAGAGGCTCGCTGTTTCGACTCTTTATTATTCCCCCTCCCCATTCTCCTTATTTTGTATAAAACCGTTCTTACTTTAATGTTAAAGGATATTTTGGTACTTTCTGTTAAAAGCTACATTTTGTTAATGATTTTGTCAAAGCAATAAAAAAACAGTTAAAAGGAGTGAACTTTGTAGGTACTGTACATCTTAAAAATGAAATAGCTATGAACAGAAGGTTTTCTGAACCTTTTCTGATGTAGAGCACACAAAAAAGACTTGAATTGAAAAGAAAAAAGTTAGGATGCAAAGGAACCCAAGGTGTTTATAGATCTTTCAGGCTCAAATCATCTTAATCCATAGAGCTGCTAGTTATTGTGTTAGAAAGGCAGAACATTTCTAGTTAAAGCCTGTAAACAGTAATCTCAGAGGGAAAGGGGTTAGCATAGCACTTTTATCTTGCATCACTTTAGTGCTCATGTTACAGAAACAGAAACCCGACCAGGACATTTTATTTTATGACGGAATCAGCTGAAAGCAATAAAAAATACTTGTGTTAACCATTTTCATGAACAAGCCAAGAAAACTATTTTAAACGAGGCTAATAAACCCTTCAATGTGCTGAAAAAACCAAGATGGCGGCTCTTTCTTGGCAGCCGACAATTTTACTGACACCTTTAGATTAAAGTTAATTGCAGTTTTAGGATCAACAGTTTCTTGCGGCTCACCTCCTGTTCTCCTTATATGGTCATTTCAGATCCTCTTCCGGCGTCGTTCGCCTCCAGGTATCCGTTCACTGCTGACTTTACGTCACTTCCTGTCTTAGGAACAACAGTCCACATCTGAGCTTTTTTTAGGCTTCATACGCCTAAAAATGTACGTCTACGCTGACACTGCGTGCGCTTTTAGGACTTTATTTATTTATTTCGTGGTTTTTGGGAGGGTTATTACTATGACTAATAATTAGCTCTGTTTTTAAGTTTTATTTTAATATAATCTTTTTGTATCCTGAGAAACGTGCCGCCATTTTTATGTTCCAGAGAAACAGGAAGTCGTGAATCACTGACCCAAGGACACCAACGACCGACTGCTGGTCTTTATACTCTGCATTGTTTTTTTTTTTTGTTCGCTCTACTTTTCTCTATGAATTATTCAAACAAAAAATTATTTGTAATAAGAGTGCTGTTAAACATTCACATTTTCTTATGAGGAGCTCGTGATCAATAAACACCAAACACAGTTGAAACCAGATAGGCTATTCACAAACACTGTATGAAAATAAACTTTTAAAAAATCCCACTGACAAATCAGAATAAAAATTCCCCCATTTTAATATGTTTCTGAAGACGTTTGAATCAACAGAACTGGGACAGATGCACACCAATGCCACTTAGGTCTTTTAACAGTCTGGGGAAATTAGGACGGCGTCAATATTGGCGTTAAATGGCGTCACTTTTTGAATTTAAAAAATGGAAATCAAAAAGTGATCTCATTATTTTGATATTCATCAAGTAAAAATACTGAATCATTCTAACCGATGTAAAACGAGGGAAAATGCCAAATAAATGTCCAGTGAAAAGATTACAAACAAAGAGACTCCACAACAGCACTGCTCAGAGACAAATAAACGTGTCATCTTTTGCCGTTTATTAAAAATTATTTACATCAAGACGTGCTGTGAGGCGGTCCACCGCCATCCCCACCGGAACGTTTTGTCCCGCGATTTAAGCAGAACCAGGCGGCAAAACGTACGAAACGGGGAGATAAACGTGTTTAAAATGTCTCCACGAGGCATCAAAAAGAAAACATGACTCATTCTGGCAGCGGCTGATGAAAAGAAAGCATGTCCAAGTGTCAGACCGCTCGTTAAATCACGCGATGACACACCACTGCAGAAATGATCAGCAACACAAACAGAGGCATTAACTGTTGACGTGCGTCGGTCCGGTGCGTCACGCGTTTGGTGGGTTTTTCTCTTTAAACACTTCAAATCCTTAAATCAGTGCTGAAAATCTGTTGTTTTTTTCCTCTTCCAAAGAGGCTGAAGCGGCGTTTACCCAACGAGGTCGTTCTACGTCACAACGGACGCAGAAACGAGATGAAAAGCTTCAATTACACCCGGAGCCAAATCAGTCATTATAGCGAGGAAAACGTTCTTAAAGCGAGACGCTTAATGAATAGTGTGGGTTTTGGGGATGATGAGGAGCTGCTGGTGAGACCGGGAGCTGTGGCGGTGGAGCGAGCCGAGCAGATCTGGTTCGCACCAACAGCCGGCTCCATGGTCAGCGCATTGGACATGGACGTCAGGATGATCGTTTGTTAATTCATCTCTACTGTCAGGGACGATCAAAATCATTTCAGCGGCCACATATGGCCCCCGAGCAACACTTTGGACACCCCTTCATTAAAACACAAAACATTTTTTGGCCCAGTTTCTAGTGCAAATGTCTGAAATAAGACAAAACTAACTTACAAGGAACTTTTCAGCAAGAAATAGGAGCTTGTGTTAAATAAATTATTCCTTTATATTGACTTTAAAAAAAGTAATAGTTCCACTTAGAACATGGGTAAAATTTCTTATTGTAAGTGAAACAAATAAACCAGTGGAACTAGTGCTATTTAAACTTAATAAAGAATTATTTACTTAATTATTTAGCTCATATTTTGCTGAATAATTGCTATGAAGTTAATTTAGTCTAATCTTAAGTGCACTGTTTTTGCAAAAATATTTAAATTGAAGATGGCTCCTCCCCCCCTCCCGCCAAGTATACAATGCACCACTTCCACAGCATGATGCATCCACTACCATACATATGTCTTGTCATGAAGACCAAAAAGGCCAATCTAACCATAAAGAGTTTCTCTAAACGGCGCTCAATGATCCGTGCAGAGTTGATGGCAGTTTGGGTCAAATGGATGAAAGTTGAAGATGAAGTTCTGCAACAACAACAAGCACTGTATAAAAACACAGTGTTTTTATTTTTGTTCGCTCTACTTTTCTCTATGAATTATTCAAACGAAAAAGTATTTGTTCTGGATTGGTCAAAGTACGCTGGCCTTACTGATCGGAGCGGAGCTGATGTCCACCCCGTTGAAAGTCGATGGGTTCTGCTTAAAATTTATCAGCATTTCTGGAAAGACGATGCAGCCGCAATGACTGCCAGACTACAATGAAAAAACTTCACTGAAGGACATTTGACAAAATATTAGTGAATGTAGATATATTTGAGCATCTATGGACGCTTTTGGTGGGTAGAGAAAACAGTGAATTATTGTTTTGAAAAATGAAATTGCTGGTTGTATGTTTTGTTGTTGATCAAATAAAAAGCCAACCTTCTGACCGACATCGTACGGTGAAGAACACTGACACACAATTGATTTCATCACAAAACTGTCAAGTAAAGAAATATCACCACCACATGAGACGGTTCTGCTCTGACGGGGAAAAGAAATAATCATGCAGAATTCTGACATCGGGGGACAATTGGTGATGAAGCGCTCCATCGTAGTTCTCCAAAGCGGTGTTGGCGACAGAACAGTCCAATGAAAAACCTCGAGAGTTCTCTAGCAACGAAACACAAAACCACCACGTTTACAGGCAGTACATTCTCCACGCACATGTTGAACGCCGTCGTTTCTTCTTCTTCTTGGGTTCACAAGCCAGAAACGTTGACGTTTGTGTACTGACTTAAAAGACGCTCACGCTACAGGTTTAGAAAAACTAACAAACAAAAGAAAAACGGACGTTCCAAAAGTCTGAGGACGTAGAAGCGGAGGAGACCGAGAACCGGCAGAGGAGTCAGACCGGAGTCGGCTGCTGTTCGCCGCCGGCGGCGTCCAGTCCGTTTTCCACCACAGTCCGAGTGACGTACCTCAGAAGCCCCCCGTGTTGGAAAAAGATAACGTCCACCTCGGAGTCGAACAGCGCCGTGACGCTGAACGACGTCCCTTTGCTGGTCTGGAGGGGAAAAAAACAACAAAAGAAATCAGTGAACCGTGTGGAGATTCCCAGAGACGCAGACGCTGCTCGGACGCCTCACCCTGACGGTCAGCTGCTGCCGTGGCCGCAGGCTCTCCGGCAGCGCCACGCTGAAGCGCTCCTTCCCGCTCAGCTCCAGAGTGTCGGCGTTTTGCCCCGCCACAAACTGCAGCGGCATTATGCCCATCCCCACCAGCTGCCTCCTGTGGAGCTTCTCGAAGCTTTCGGCGATGACGGCGCGGACGCCCTGGGAAAAAGACAAAAGGGAATCAAGAAGGTTTAAAAAGTACGCTTTTGCTACGTTATGATCTCTAACTTCATTGTGCTTGGAGATTTTCCAAGACAGAAACAAAAGAATAAAGCTGATCGATACTACTTATAAAATGAAATGTAGGATTATTTTTATACCCAATGTGCGTTCCGATTTTAACACATTTTTATGTAGAGTTTAGATTGGGTCGGGCTCAGGCCGAAAATCTAAACTCAAATTTTTCCTCCTTACATTTTCTTCACATGAAAAGAAGATATCTTAAAAACTGTTTTTTATGGCCGTGTTGTGGTGGCGTACGGGTTTAGCACAAGCCACGTATGGAGGCCTTAGTCCTGTTTAGGCTGCAGAAATGATTTGCAGTCAATGGAAAGCAGGCAAACGCAAACGTGTGTGTGTGATTTACCAGCAGGTACGGTCCCTTCGCTACCCAGTCCCTGGAGCTTCCAGAGCCGTAGTCCTTTCCAGCTAGGATGATGAGGGGTGTGCCGTCTCTCTGATAGCGATCAGCTGCCTCAAACACATCCAGCTGCACACACACACACACACACACACACACACACACACACACACACACACACACACACACACACACACACACACACACACACACACACACAGAGACAAAGAACCATTGAAACTGGACTCAGGCTGAATCAACCAGCACTCAACATTTACATGGACTAGACCGGTTAGGTTTCCTCTCACAGTCTGGCCGGAGGGAATGTGCAGAGTCTTTGGGCCCGGCTTGCCGATGAACCGGTTGTGGAGCTTGATGCTGGCAAAGGTTCCTCTCATCATCACTGCGTCGTTCCCTCGGCGAGCACCGTACGAGTTAAACTCCCGCGGCGTCAGCCTGGGAGACACAACGTGAGAGTTCAGTTCATTTGAAGCAACATGGTGAATGAAAACTGCGACTAAGCCTGTCACAATTAGCACTAAGTCAACGAAACGCTGCTAACATTGACGCTAAGTGCACACTACTGGACACTTTTGAATGTTTTCCCCCTTCTAAGCTTAAAGATTCTTGTTTATTGAAATGCAATTTTTAATTCATTTCATTTGTTGTTTTCTATTGTTTTATTTGTTTTGTATTTTCAAAATGTCTTCCAGTTCCGGTGTTGAAAGTTTGTAAGAATTTATTTATCTTCTTGCATTATTATGCTGTTACCATTACATTTACAATGGTCTCAAAACAGCAATGGTGTCGTTTATTGCATTAACTTCTGGGACTACTTATTGTCCAGCAACATTTTTTATTATATAACAGGAAATAATATTAGCTACCATAACTATGCGGATGACACACAGCACTACATCACGATGTCACCAAGTGACTCTGAACCATCCAATCACTGAATAAATGTTTAGAAGAGATAAATGTGTGGATGTGCCAAAACTTTCTCCAGCTGAACAGAAACAAAACTGAAGTCATTATTTTTGGACCTAAAGAGGAACGATCTAGAGTCAATGCACAGCTTCAGTTATTACAACTAAAAACTAGCCTGGGAGTAGTGATGGACTTGGACTTGAACCTTGCGAGCCACATAAAGACAATTACAAAGTCAGCCTTCTATCACCTGAAGAACATCTCCAGGATTAGAGGACTAATGTCTCAGCCAGATCTAGAGAAACTCATTCATGCGTTTATCTTTAGTCGCATTGATTATTGTAACAGCGTCTTCACAGGCCTGACCAACAAATCAATCAAACACCTGCAACTGATCCAGAATGCTGCTGCTCGTGTTCTCACTAGAACCAGGAAGATAGAGACATAACACCAGTTTTAAAGTCCTCCACTGGCTCCCTGTAGCTCAAAGAATAGATTTTAAAATACTGTTGTTAGTTTACAAATCACTGAACAGTTTAGCACCACAATACATCAAAGATCTGCTGTTGTTGTATCAACCTTCCTGACCTCTCAGGTCTTCTGGTTCTGGTCTGCTCTGCATCCCCAGAACCAGAACCAAAAGAGGAGAAGCAGCTTTCAGCATCTATGGACCAAAAATTTGGAACAAACTTCCAGAAAACTGTAAAACAGAGGAAATACTGACTTTCTTTATACCTCAACTAACTGCTGAAATGTACTATGCAAATAAAATTTGATTGATTGATTGTGACAGGTCATTGATTATTCTTTTGAAGTAAAAGTTTATTGATCTTTTGATGGGTGTACTTGCTCTAATATGCCATCATTATTATTACTATTATACTAGTTGAAAATGGTCTCAAAATAACAATATTGTCAATTTCTCGCAATAAGTTCTGTGACCATTTATCGTCCAGAGAAATCAGCACATCAAGCCGGCGGTCTGGCACCAACCGTTTGCTCTGCAGGTACTTGGCGGCGGCGCTGACTCTGGCGATGCTGCCGGCTGGTGAAATGTGATCCGTGGTCACTTTGTCTCCGAGGAACAGTAAGACGTGAGCGTTTTCTATCGACTGGGGCGGAGGAATATCTTTACTCTGGGAAGAAAAAGACGATAAACGGGAAGAGGTGAGAAGGTGATGGTTGCTGCGAAGCGGGAAGAAGCGCCGGCACTGATGGAGGGACTCACGAGTTTGGTGAAGAACGGCGGCGAGCGGATATATGTGGACTTGTGATCCCAGGGGAAAACCGCCGAGTCTGGACATTCAATCTTGTTCCAAAACGTATTCCCTTTCTGAAGGAGAGCAAATGTCTCACGGTTTGCATGTGCAGCAGGATTTATTCAACAACAGAACGAGTTCTGACCTCCATCCTGCTCCTGAGGTCCTGAAAGATGGAGGAGATGACCATGTCCTCCTCGGTCTGTTGGATCTCCTCTCTGGACGGCCAAATGTCACGAAGATACACGTCCTTACCCTCCGAAGTCCGGCCTGTTCAATTTGAAACATACGCTGAAAATCACGTTTTTGAACATGTTCGCTTTTTGCGAGAGCTTTCCGAGGAAAAGCAGAGGGAACACAAGGCTTGAAGAAGAAGCAGAAATAATCACATCCTTTGAACTTTTTCACATTTTCTTTTTTGTCATTTCTTCTTTGCTAAATTGTTCAGATTCAATCAGATTGGATGGAGAGTAACAAGAGATGCGAACATTTCTGGAACAACTTCCCCTGCTGCCAAGATGCACCAGAGAGGGACGAAGATCTGCGGCCTCATGTATGAAGTGTGCGCGTGCACAAAAAAATGTGCGGCGCCACATCTTACGCACAAATTAAGTTTGCGTAAATATACGCACATTTTTTCGCTGGCATGAAAATGTGCGGCGGCCATGCAAACTTTTTCTGTGGACGATTAAACTACAAATCGTCAAAACTCCCCTAAATACACTGAAATCTGACTACGGATATGAAAACTTCATTGTAATGTAAATATGAAGTAATATTTACATTACGTCATAAAGACGTAACGTATTGTAAACTTAAAAGAGCCGTGCGGTACCGGTATCGGTCCAGCTGCATTAACCGGTCTGCCTGCTTTGTTGATGCGCCTTATGGATAGACAACATCTATTCTGTAAATATACAAGTTCTGCACATGATTCTGCTATTTAGAATAAAAGTCCACATTCTCACTCAAATGACTCTCTGTCTGCCCCGCTGAAAGCTCTACTGTTCACACAGGCATTGATCTCTTTATTTATTTATTTAGACTTTTTTATTTAAATTGTATTAGTTTTATTTTTGTGAGGTGACCTTATGTCCTGAAAGCACATTTTAAATCAAATATATGGTTATTATTAAAAATATTTATACTGCTCAAACAAGGACGTTGCCATGGTTATTGCTTCACGTGGGAGCAGATTTTTCTGTATTTATACTAATTTACATTAAGATGTATTTATGGGTGGCGACAGGCAGACAAGCAGCTGCGGTCAATTAGGGTTCATAAAGGGAAGGAGCGCTTTCACACAGCACTGTGTCAAACAAATGAAACTAATTGAAAAAGTCCACAAGACATTTCTCCTGCGAGATACGTGCATTTGTTTTGGTTGTATTTACCCAGAATGCTGTGCTCTACAATCTACGTCCTGCTTTTAGACTAAAATGCTGCATTTTAGTCTCATCTAACAAAAAAAAAGAAGCAAAAAAATACTTCAAAAAATTACAAAATAATTCCAGACATTTTCCAAAGCATCTATGTAAATTAAATGTTTAGATTAAAATACAACCAGATTGCAGAAGATGACAGATTTATTTCTACTTCGCTGGCGGTTGAGACATGACTAAACAAAAGGCTGAATCCCTTCCTGCTCACTGACTGTAATCCGACCAAATTCCTAAAATCTCCTGCTGATCTCCAGCTTCTAGACAAACAGCTTCATGGAGCCGCAGGCGGCGCTCGTCTCACCTAGAGGCTCTTTCTCAAAGTCAATTCCCACCGTGCCTGCGATGGCATACGCCACCACCAGGGGAGGGGAGGCCAGGTAGTTGGCGCGCACGCAGTCACACAGGCGGCCTTCGAAGTGCCTGTTGCCAGACAACACACCGCAGGCCACCAGGTCCCCCTGAAACGATGGACAGCGGTGAAGAGTCTGAGTGCAGACACAGGGCGGTGTGGCGGCGGCGTGGGGAGTTACCTTTTTGATGGCGTCGACTACAGATTCTGGTAGCGGCGCCATGTTCCCCACGCAGGTGGCGCAGCCGTAACCTATGACCTCGAACCTGTCACATGATCACAGCCATTATTTATGCAACTCTGATTCATTATAACTGTAATGTTGATCAATATGTTCGATAATCCAGTCAAACGGTATTTGACTGGATTATGTTTTTATGGTTTAAAGCACTTTAAACTTCTCTGTTACTGAAGTGTGATGCACAAATAAATAAACTTGACATTCCATAGAAGAAAATGGATCCATCCTTTAAAAAAAAAAGTTTTATCTTTTAATAATAATAATGATAATACTGACCTTTGGGCACTTAAACAACATAATTTGCAGGAGAAAACACAAAATAAAATGCTTATAAAAGTTATAACAAATTCTCTGCAGTATATTATTATGAAATATGTTTAGGTGATTGAACGTTAGTGGCTCTAAATGAGTTAATTTAACCAGATTGAGGCTAAAACCTTTTCTCTGAGCTGTAAAGTCTAAGTATGTAACTGAAACCTGTTCAACGAAGCTGCTGATGTCACTTCCTGTGCTGTCAGTGCGTGAAACCTGCTCACCCCAGCTGGTTGAAGTAAGGCAGGACTCCACTGGCGTTGAGGTAGTGGGTAACCATGCCACTTCCAGGAGCCAGGCTGGTCCGGATGTAGGGCTTCACGACGAGCCCGGCTTCTACGGCCTTCTTGGCCATCAGGCCTGTCGACGGCGAGGAACAGAGTGAGCAAAGCCGAGCTGCGACCTTGATGACAAATGTTCTCGCGCTATCTGTGTTTTGTCCAGCTCCCACCGCCTTGAAACTGAACTACATTTTGCTGAGAAGACTAAACAGTTCACGTCTGAATTTAAACTTTGGCATACCTGCGGTGAGCATGACCGACGGGTTGCAGTTGTTGGTGCAGCTGATGACGGCGGCGATGACCACGGAGCCGTGCGCCAGCTGATACTCCTGACCGCAGTGCAAGAAGGGGACGCGGACGTCCTGCTTCTCCCTGGAGATGTGGAAGCCTTTAAATCCCACCTGGGGCAAAAGGAGACGTTACTGGGAAGCTCCGCTGCCTAGCAACAAGAGGGATCAGTACATACGTCCAGGTCCAGGTTACCTTCTCGTTGAGGCAGCTCTGGAAGTCGTCCTTCATGCTGCTGACGGCCACTCTGTCTTGGGGCCTTTTGGGTCCGCTTACGTGGGGAACCATGGAGCTCAGGTTGATCTCGATCACCTGCACAAACATCGCTAGCTTCAACGGAGCTCATTGATACGACTGTGGCTTTTAAAACTTTTCAGACAACGCTGGTTGACAGAGAGTCAAGAACAAAAGAATACAGCTGCATCAAAATTAAAATACAATTTTAAAAGTTAATTTATTTCAGGAATTCAATTCAAAAATTTAAACCAGTATAATGTATAAAGAGTTTATTTCTATTAAATCATTTAATGGAAATGATTTAAAGGTAATGAAAATTTAACATGTTTCTCACAAGGTCAAATTAAGCTTTTTCACTAAAAAGCATTAAGCTGAAGCAGGCAGTCACTGCAAGAAAGGTGTGCAAAACTTTATCCATATTTCGCTAAGGTTGAAAAAATAAAATTTTCCAATTTCAGTGTTTCCATCAAGAAACAATTAAAATGTCACATGAATATGTTTGTTCATAGTTAAACATGAAGGGCCGTCCTCCTCCAACTACTTCCTGTCGTTTTCTTCGTCTTTTCCATCAGTAGTAACATACAGCTGCTGATCGTGTGACTCGTGTGATGTGAAATAAGCGTTTGCAGTTCGGTGAAATGCACTAATTTTGGTACCACTGAAAAACCACCTCATCCTAGTGTGAAAGCTTTTTATCAAAAAACTGGAATTTTTTTCAAAATTAGCATCTTTCCATTAAGCAAATATATTTTTACTTCCAATTTTCACATTTCATGATCAAACACACATTAGCAAAGACCTGTTGAGGGTCTTTAGCTAAAGTATTAGCTGTTCACAGAAGGCTGCGTTCAACAGTTCAGGGGAAGAAAAAAGTGTCACACAGGATGACTGTCCCTTTTCCCCCAAATATATCGTCTTGTGTTTTTGAATTGAATTACTTAAAAAGAAACGAACCAAAAAAAAAAACTTTGTTTTAATCTGATGTGAAATTACCTCTGAGAACTCAGGATCTTCTGAGGATTCTTCATAGCTTCGGAAAAGATTTACAGCCTTCATGTAGGTTTCCAGTAATTCAAGCTTTTCGTCAGTGAAACCTGGAAGGATGAATTAAAATGCATTACTGGAAAAAGTGGATTTTATACAAAATCCACTTTTTTTTAGCGCAAATATATTTTATGTGTCCGTGGGAGTTTCTTTGGAAAAGTTGAACTTAATCTTCATAAATATCTTTATATTCTATCAGTCATAGTTCTCAACCTGTTCAGTTTCTCTTTTTCTAGATGTGTCTTTTGAACAACAGCATCACAGTTTTTGCTATGGTTCTGCTGAACCTGGACATCAAGATCTGGCTAACCAATTGTATGAATCCACCATTTTTATTTCTTGCAGTCATTTGTAATCCAATTTCCAAGGATGCCAAAACTGCATGTGGATAAGTCATTCACTGCACGTCCCTAAGCATCAGAAATGATGGACACAGCAGAGGAGTGAGTTATAAATAATGCTGAAATGACAAGAAGCTTAATTTTAGACAGGAATTTATTGTGTTTGTACAACATCTTGTCTGTTGTTTTGATAGCAGTAGCATTGTGCTTTCTGATTCTATTAGCGTTTTATGCTAGGTTTTAGCTCCTTGGGCATGATCGGACTGCGTGTTTTGAATGATATTGTTGTGGTATAAACAAAAACAATAAAAAACAGTTTTTGCTGTTTTTGTTTAGGGTACCACATGACCCACAGCTGGCGCTAGCGATAGCTAACTCGCTAACTATGTTGAGGTTTTGTTTACAAGACGTGTTCAGTCACATTGTGGTAGCATTTGAATTTTTTAAAAGGTATCGACTTGTAGTTTGTGTTAAAATATTGTTGACGTCTTTTAATTAATTTTAGAATAAAGAGTTCTGCGGTGTTAGATAAATGGATTTCTGCTGTTAAACTACAAAAATGGCTGAACCACATAAAAGTGAAACACTGTGACCGGGAGGGGGCGGGGCGTGAAGTAACTCATTTACATTTCAAGAGACCGTACCAAAACAAGTTGCTCTCAAACGCGCCTCAGAACAGGGGTAAAGATGAAGCTACAATAATGAGGAATTCAGACCAAAGCACTGCAGTTTGTCTTTAAATAAACCCCAACTGAATGGTTTAAGTCCAAAAAGGACAAAATTAAAAGGATAACATGTCCACTTTAATTGCTCATTTTACTCACTTGTCTTTTTAAAGTGCTTGAGTGTTACGTGGTCGACAGGGAAGAAGCTGACAGTTGCGTTGTATTCTGGACACATATTGGCGATGGTGGTCCGGTCAGGCGCCGATAGCTGGGAGACACCTGGTCCAAAAAACTCAACAAACTTCCCAGAGATTCCTGCCTGCCGCAAGTGCTGAGAAAACAAAAGACCGGAGAGAAAAACCCGAAGCTCAGAGCGTTGTCATCTGGAACATTTAAAGCTGCTCTGGTTGAATGACCCTAAAAAGGAACCTTTGTGATGCCGAGGACGATGTCGATGGACGTGGCCAGAGGGTTGATGGAGCCCACCAGTTTACAGCCCACCACCTGAGGTAGGGTCAGCGACACCGGTTGGCCCAGCATCACCGCTTCAGACTCGATTCCTCCGACGCCTGGAAAAAATTGTGAAGCCAGTTACTGAAGATGCAGTTTAAACGGAAAGCTGAGAAACGTCGATGAGAAGAGGCCGTACCCCATCCCAGGATTCCCAGGCCGTTGATCATGGTGGTGTGGGAGTCGGTGCCCACCACGCTGTCGGGGTAGATCAGGCCGTCGCTGACCTGCACCACCCTGGACAGGTACTCCAGGTTCACCTGGTGGATGGTGCCGACGTCCGGAGGAACCACGTTCACATTTTTAAAAGCCTTTGAACACCACTGTTGGGCAGACGAGGAGAAAGCTCGGTGCTCAACAAAGAGTCTCGACCAAATGAGCATCCATCCATTTTATCTTCTCGACAGAAAATCCAAACACAAGTGATGTTTTGGTACCTTAAAAAAATGAAGCCTCTCTTTGTTTCGCTGCAGTTCCATTTCCTGGTTCTTCAAAGCCGTTTCCAGTCTGCAAAAAAGATTAAGTAAAATCCAGAGTGAGCTCAAAAAAGGAAAACACTGAGCAAAACAATAATATCTACATTACCTGGCAAGTATGCTTAACATGTGCACGACCTTTGAACTTTCCCACATCGAAATGAATAACAGGAATCCTCTCTAATGCCTAATTTAGGATAATCTCGCTCTCATATTTTCACCGTTGCTGCAATTCTGCAAGTATTTTACAGTGGGTGGTGTGTTTAGAGTAATGAACAAGTGTTTGTTTTCTGCCACACCCCTACACATACACACACACATACACACACACACACACACACACACACACACACAGTGCTTTGGATGTAGCCTCAACAGAGCAGAGCTGAGTTGTTCTTTCAGCAATTGGTCTTTTTTTGAGTCTGTATACGCCATTTAACAATAGTTTACTAAATTTGTTGATGACTATTTCAATTATCAATTAATGGTAAATGGACTGAACTTATATAGCGCTTTTCCAGTCATTTTGACCACTCAAAGCGCTTTACACTAGAGTCACATTCACCCATTCACACACCGATACGCAGACCGATAGGCAATTTGGGGTTACGTGCCTTGCCCAGAGGAACATCGACATATGGCAGGAGGAAGCTGGAATCGAACCTACAACCTTCCGATTGCAAGACGACAACTCTGCCACACAACCACAGTCGCCCAATTACAATTAATCGAATGAATCATTTCAGCCCTTGTTCAAAGGTCATGAATATTTCTGCAAAGGACTGAAACTCTTTGAATCTAGTCCCAGTGTTACACAGACTGAATCAGTCGAATCCTCTAACTAGTGAAGACGTACTCAGAAACGGGCTGCAGGTGGAAGGGGCAGAGCAGGGGAGTGTTTTCAATCTGCTGGACAGAGGTTGGACGGCCCGACGAGGTGGGGGGGTCACTGCAGGTGCCCTTGCTGCAGGAGCCCCGCTGGCCCCCGCAGTGGGAGCTGCCTCTGGACGGAGGCCGGGCCGCTGCAGGACGAGGAGCAGGAGGCTGGCTCTGGCTGGAGCTGTCGCCTCCGCCTGGGTTGGGAGCGTTCTGTATGGCGCTGGTATGACAAGGTTCAGAGGTTAAAAGGAAATAAAGACCGATGTAGGCGAACAAATGTGGGATTTCATTCCAGTTAATTAACAAACCATTTGCTGTAATCAATTTGCAGTGAGTGGTCTACAATGAGGTCTGTGGGGCATTTAGGGTTCACTAGGTCGGGGTCCACGCCGTGTTTGGCCACAGCGTCTCTCATAGCTGCCAGGTCCACCATAGCAGGAATACCACTGATACAAAACCACAACAAAAAAAACTGTTTTTTTCTTGTTCCCAATAATCGCTTTCTTCACAGCCGAGGAATTAAAAAGTGAGTAAACTCACGTGAAGTCCTGCAGAAGGACTCGTGCCGGGGAGAAAGGCACCTCTGCTTTTTCCTGCTGCTGCTGCCAGTCCAAGATGTTCTGCACATCTTCCTCTTTTGTGTAGAAGCCGTCGTAGTTCCGAATCGCCGCCTCCAGCAAGATCCGGACGGACAGCGGCAGTTTGTCTGCGTGTCGTAAATAAAGAGTTGATTCACCAGGGGGTACGGCTGACGTTACGACAGACACTGCACGGCGGTGAACTCACCGTATCTCGGGTCGCCTAATTTACGTGGGTTGTAGAACTTGATGCCATCTGGTAACGTGTCGATCAGATGGGCGTACGGGTGCTCTGAGGAGGAGAAGTTAATGCTTTGACTAAAAAGAACATTTAATGTCTTCTAGCAATTAGATATCCATCCATTCATTGTCTGTCGCTTATCCAGGGTCGGGTCGCGGAGGTAGCAGCTTAAGAAGGGAGGCCCAGACTTCCCTCTCCCCAGCCACTTCTTCCAGCTCCTCCAGGGGAACCCCGAGGCGTTCTCAGGCCAGCCGGGAGACATAGTAACTCCAGCGTGTCCTGATACTCTTTTAAATTCTTTTTTATTTTATTTTTAAACAAAGAGTCACATGATAGCAAAAACAGTGTTCCTCCAGGGTTCACCAATTCAAATTTAGGATATTTTAAGACCAATGTGAATAAAATTTAAGGCCTGTGCAGAAATGCACAAAAGACAGTGATTGTTTTTCAGGGCACCAACCTTTTTTTGCACAGAATGCATCTAACATCGTACAACTTCACATTCAAAAATACTTTATTGATCCCAAGGGGGAATAAATTGTTGTCACTCATCAATTCAGATTGTTCAAAGTTTTTGCAGATGCTTGTGACAGCAGTCGCAAAGACGAACGTCGCCCAGGCAACTGGTGTTAAGTTTACACTTACAAATAAAAGACACAAGCGAGCTCACAGGTCGCAGTGTAAGAAGATGTCTACACGCACCTCAAACTTTTGCCTGACAGAAAAGTCTTGGGACTAAAAAATACTCCATGGAATATATAAGAATAAATAGCCCTGCCACAACAAAACTTGAGACCTGTAATTAATTTGTTTGAGGCCATCTTTGATTAATTTAAAAGGGCAGTAATTTGTTCTACAGGCACATAGTCAAGAAACAATCTTACCTTCAGTTGTTATGAAAAATGCTATATACACCAACTATGACTTAAAGAAATTTTATAGTACACTAGGGTCATTTTTTCCCCTAGTGTATTAGGGCTAGGCACCATTTGTTGATTTTAAATATGTTTTTTAATACACCAATAACAATGACAGTAGAGACAGGATAAGATGGTTTATAGTTGACTTGTTGGACTACCGTCACCTACTGATGCACGTCTGAATTTTTGTAACTTCATGTTTTAACACAAAACATGGTGTTCCACTGGTGGACTGTCTCGAGGCCTCTAACACCGGGCTTAGCAGGTTTTCTGGGGGAAACCCTGTTATTAATTTAAGTAACGCCTTGAAATTTGGCTGCTATATCTTTAAAAGTTTTCCTCTTTCTGAAACTCCACCTTCAGGAACTCATCACATCATGGCTCCTCTATTAACCCTTTAACAACATTTTTACCAGTGTTATTCTAAGAAAAAGCTCCTATAATGAGTTCAGGTGTTCCACCAGGTGTTTGCTAGTTGCTGCTGGCTTGTCTGAAGGAGCTAAGTGGGGGAGTTGTGGAGAGGGCTGCTCTGTGAGGTGGAAGCTCAGAACATGTGGCTCTGAGGTGGAGCTGCGTCTTGAAGGCGGAGCTAAGTCCCTCCAGACACTTTGCACAATGATTGCCATGGAGACTAAAGGATTTCTCAAACAAGAATGAAGGAATCAAAGCAACGCTCCCAGTATGTTTTTGATGGTAACAACATGCAACATTATAACGTGATGTAAAGGTACTACTGCCCCTTTAAGGCCAACCATCTGAAGCACTCAGAGGATCAAACTGTACGTTCAGCTCTCATCTTCCTCAACTTTACCACATCTACTGTCAGATCACACAATACACGGATGAGACCTTTCATCGAGAAGTAACACAACAACAACACTGCCTGCTTTGTGCCGTTTAAGATTTTAAAAGCTTGCTGACACAAACACAGAAGCATGTGTTTTCATGTTATTGTTCAGAAATGTAAACAGACGGGAGCCACATTCCTCCAAAGGAGATAATAAGCAGGAGGGACGGACACACTGGGGGCATTTCTTATCTTTGCACCATTTCCTGAAAACAGACTCAACAATATGGTGAAGTTGCAGCATGACGTATTGAAACAGGTATAGGCTGGTTTACTGTATAAATCTAGGCAGGGGTTTTAACAAGTTACAAGCTACAAATTAAATTAGACTTAATATTCACCTGTCTGATTAGAGCAACAATGTTTTAAAACTTATGACGGAGTCCCAATACTGTAAAAAAAGAAAAAAGAAAAAAAAAGTTGTACGAGATGAAAAGTTGTTATAAGAAAAAACGTATAATATCAGAACAAAGCCATAATATCAGTGGATTCAAGTGATAATGTTTTGACAAATCCCATCAGTGGCATGCAATGAGGTTCATATCTGGTGAGGCACTGACTTAATCATAATCAGATTTATAAATATGGATCCCCTACATGTTATTGTTAACTTGAGGAAATTTCACACATGCGGACAACGATGGAGGGCAAAAAGACTATTCCTCTACATGTCATCCACACTGTCTTCGTAGAATAACTCCGTTAACTATGTCAAACTTGGACATGCAGATATTATTCATTTTGGGCTGTGCTTCACAGCAAAGAGAAAAACCGTTAAAGTACAACTCAAAACTACGTCTTTCTTGCTTTCTGAGCAAGACTCATTGCCAAAGTAACTAACAATGCCACAGAAAAACACACTCAAATATTTCCCACACAAAAAACAGAACATTCAGCCTGTTGCAGTGGGATGGCTTTAGGCTGAATGTTTATTTTGCGATTATTAAGTGTTAAGAGCTGAGAAGAGAAAATGATATATTGCTGCATTTGACTTTACTCCATGGCTAGCTTCATGCCATTAATTTAATGGCATGAAGCTATTAAATTATGGCTAGCTCGCTGTTATTGTCTCTTACTCTGCAGTTGTGGAGTCACAATGTCTGTGATCATGATCATCTTAAGATGTCAGCATCAAATTATTGTCAGTAGCAGAAATTTAAAACGTGTTAACATTGTGACTTCATTCTCATTATATTATCACTTTATTCTTCTATTTTCAAAAACAAAAAAAAGAAAAATCTTAGTGTGGCCCTATTGATCTGTCATAAAAACCACAGTTGAAGAGCAATGTCAGTCAAGCAGCTGATTGCTGCCTACTGGAGCAGATACCTCCACTAATCAATATCCACAAACACGGTATAGATTACGTTATTAGATGTGGAATAATCAATATAGTACAAGTTGAGCAAACATAGTAATATTTGCTGCTTTTGTTAGATCATGTTTTAAACTATAAACAGTTAACTTAAATTACTCTAACTTTAAAAATCTCAAAACATAAGATTAGAAAAGAGCTGTAAAAACAAAACAAAAAAAAGCTGAATTTCCTCCATTAAATGACACACAGTTACTATTAGAGAATAGAAGAACATACTTCTTCTATTCTGTTAATTAAGAGACCCTACCATCACCTGGGATAATTATTATTCTCAACAAGAGTTCACAAACAATCTTCAGCTTTTTATGTCTAGTTTCTCTCTTGGTGACAGCTTGATTTAACATTCAAATTTCCTGTCACGCATACAGCATTGTGTATTTTTACAAAATACTGCCCCGCAGGTATGTTCACCGGCTATAAAACTACTCCATGCACAAAGAGGTTGTCACAGACAAAACCAATTCATGGAATGTTTTCCAACTCAGTTTCCATGACAAAATCCCATAATTTTCAGACAAAATTTGATTTCATATTGTGATATTTTTACAAGACTTAACTATGGCAGATATTTCTACATCAGAAAAGAATTCAAAACAAATCATTCACATTCCAGTCACTAGTATGAGGGGATGGTTGGATAATATTTAGACAGTAGTATATGAGGTAAAGTTTTTCTTCAGATCTTTTCCCATCTTATCCAAAGTATATAATTCAAATGTCCTATTTGTTTCCTATGTGAAAACCCTGAATGGCACACAGTGAAGCCGGGTATTTACTACATATTTACCACATAAGAACAATATCAATATTCTACATAAAACCATGCACTGTTGAATCTCATGTGTTGTTATTACCACCATAGATATAAATACAGATGCTATGGTAATAAGAGTAAAAACAAAAATAACTGTATAACCGCATCTCAGTAGCAGCACCAGAATATGTGTACAGGTGTGTAATTATGTATTAGTTTCCGCATTAGTAGTGTAATAATAGGTAATACTGTAAAGCAGTAAAATGACGAATTAAGTAATAATATATATGAGACACAAACCCTGATAAAGCAGGGACTTTTTTAATATAAATGTATTTGATGTGAATGTATTACAATTACTGGCTCTGGTCTGAAACGCCGATTTTCTTTCAGCAAATATTAAAACACTAACCGCGGGCTCTTCATGAATCACGTAATGACTGTAAACGGTCAAGGTAAAAGTTTGAGGTTTCTTAGCATGTTTCCATAATGGCAAGGTGAGGAAGAGGGTGCAGAGCTAGCCTGGGAGCGAGCTGCTAACGTTCCCTCTTATCGTGAAGCACACTTGTGCAGAGCACTTATCGAGCTACCTACCGGCTTTACCTCTTCTAGAGATAACAAGAACCAGCTTAGTTATGAAACAAAACACAAGCAAGAGACATTTAGCTAAAAGTCGTGGCAATGGCATCAAGAAAGACACCAACGGGTTTAGCGTTTTCTCTTTTTTTACCATGCTAGCTGACATATCTGTGTTATCGCGTTAGCTATGTGCTAGCTTTTCTGTCGGGGTCCTTTATGTAACGTTCACGTGAGAAAAGGCCGAAGTTCTCCTACGAAAGAAGAGTCCGTTTCAGAACTGCTTTTTTTTCGGCTAGTTTACACGCTGGAGCCACTCGTAGTTGTCCGTAGAAGGTTCGTAAAAGACTCGTTTTACCTTTAATTGTCGCATTGAGCGCCATGATGACTCCTGAAATCAACACGGGCCCCTTCTCACGCTGCAGAACCAACCCAGGGCTGACCAATCGCAAACAGCAAACAGTTATGTAACCAATCAGAGAACAGAGCTGCTCGGTCACGCCCAACCAGAAATTTGTCGTAGAATAAACATCAAAAAACAGTTTTTAGAAACTATTTGGATAAAAAAAATCCATGTTTTTAAGAGATACAACAGGATTTGTTACAGGTGAGAGTAGAGATACTATTTCATTATCAATATTATTAATAGGTAATGACAAAATACTATCTCACAATAGGATTACCAGTTCCTCAGTCATAATAATGAGGTATAGTCTCTATCTCTAATTATCTTTAACATTATCATGAGATGCATAACTATGAAAGCTAAGTCAAAATTTTGAAAGGGTGTCTCGTAGTATTTGCATAGTATCTGATAATAATGAGATAGTGTGTTGTTGTTATTATTATGTATTTTTATAATCATAATTTATCTATACCATAATTATTAAGTAGAAAATTAGCATAAATTATAACTGCAAGGTTCATAAGTGAAAACTATAAAAAATATCGCTAAATAATTACGGACAACTAAGTCATAATAAAGCCAAGCCACAAATATGAGCTTCCAATCGCATCATGTCAGAAAAGGCTTGAAGCGATCACAAACAGCACTGTGACTTTAAAAAAGCGTCATGTGACGTCAACTGTGTTGCTTTCAATGCACTTCGGACTGTTGGTTCGAAGAATGTTTGTGTAACTGACGAAAGAAATACTTGTGTTTCTTCTTATTATTCAACAAAATTTTACATGTATGTATAAACCTTTATATATGATTTTGCTTATTTTTACCCTACTACCTATTGGTTTTCATTGGTCAAAATCTGTAATGCAGATTGTAATGCACTTTATTAGAATTTCTACCCGATCATCAATGCATCATCTTCCTTCAATTACACAAACGACTGGCAAAGTAAATATTTCAGGCCTATAAATCGGAGCAGAATGCTTTTCAAACCTGTTTTCCATTTTCTTTTTTAATTAATTTTATAGTAGATAACGATTTGTCGACGTCTTGATAAAGCTTAGACCGTTGACCTTTTACCTCTGACCGTGTTTGTTCAGAGCGGTAATGGACGGAAGACATGACCCTCCATTATGTTGCAGCAGTGCAGGCCGTTCGAGTGTAAATAAACAACTTCGATACCCAACCGATAGTGGCCGAGGACGGTGAGCTTTGTGACTATTCGGGTACGTTCAGTCGGTGTGTTTGGGTGACATTTATTGCAGTTTCTTCGACAGGAAAGCCCCCTGGCAGTTTGTTGTTGCTACAGCCGCTCGAACGCAGTACACGCTGTGACTTGCACGTGCTTCCTCTTTGCAACAAAACAGCACGAAGTTATTGACTAACTGATCAAACGTTTAAATGCTGCTCGTATAGTTGATGGGTATTATCGTGTCAGCAGCTGAATATGTGCTTAAACTTCCCCTCCTGTGGTCTCTGTTCCCCTCACAGACCCAACTGACTCTTAACAAGTGAGTTTCACAAGCCATGTCAGTTCCGGGTTTACAAACACCGTAATAATACCGCTTTACTTCTCTTGCCCATTGCGCGAAGTCTTGCAGATATTTAATTAAACGCCATTGACATCTTTGTCTCCTCGAATCCATAGAGGAATGTGTGTTTTTGTAGTACCTTGCTAAAAGTGCTCAACATTTAGTCGCGTTAAAACCAGGCATTTAACGTTTTCATTGACAGGCCAACACAAGCAGACTAATGTTTTCACCATAGAGGGAAAGACCTTGAGCAGAAAGTGAAATGAATAAATAATTACTTTTGGTTTGTCTGGTCTTCATATAGGTCTGGTGTTCCACGGTTGTCCTGATGCTTCTGTCTGATGCAGGTATAATGGCAGCAGCAGCGTTTGGGACTGCAGCGCTTTGACTTTAGGGCCTGACCGGCACCATGCAGCAGAAAGGTGCCATCCAGATTATTGAATGGGAGGACCTGGACAAGAGGAAATTCTACTCCTTGGGTGTGTTTATGACGTTAACCACCCGGGCCACGGTCTACCCATTCAGCCTAATCCGGACCCGGCTGCAGGTGCAGAAAGGGAAGGCCGTGTACTCGGGCACCTTTGACGCCTTCTGCAAGATCCTGCGAACGGAGGGCGTGAGGGGCCTCTACCGAGGCTTCATGATCAACACCTTCACTCTGGTGTCAGGACAGGCGTACATCACCACCTACGAACTGGTGCGCAAGTACGTGTCCCACTACTCTCCCAGCAACACGGTCAAGTCCGTGGTGGCGGGAGGGGCGGCGTCCCTGGTGGCTCAGACCATCACCGTGCCCATTGACGTGGTGTCCCAGCACCTGATGATGCAAGGACAGGGCGAACATCACTCCCGCTTCAAGGTGAAGCCAAAAATGATGCTCGCCACATCTAAACGCAAACCTACTTTCGGACAATCGCGGGAAATAACGGTGCAGATATTTGCAGCTGATGGTTTCAGGGGATTTTATAGAGGTTACGTGGCATCCCTGCTCACATACATCCCCAACAGTGCTCTCTGGTGGCCTTTTTATCACTTTTATTCAGGTAAATCAATGCTACCTTTGTTTTGTTTTGTCGGCATGTCTTTTTGTGCGACTTGGCCTTACAATGTATAATGTCGTTTGCATTTTCAGAAAAATTATCTTTAATGGCGCCAAGTGGATGTCCCCACCTGATTCTGCAGGCTGTGGCAGGACCAATGGCAGCGGCAACTGCCTCCACCATCACAAACCCTATGGATGTTGTTCGTGCAAGAGTTCAGGTAAGAAAAGCTGCAGCCTTTAGAAGGAGGTTGTCATTGTTTACTCTGGAGACTTTTGGTTTGACGATCTCCTCGCTATTGAGGCTGAACACAAACATGGGCTGTCTGAGGCCTTCAGAAAAAAGATTGTAGCAGTGTATGTGCCTGGTAGGGTCACAGACGGGTTTGTTATCAGGTATTCCACAGCAGGATGTTCAAAAACAACCGGTGAGATGCCAATGACTGCCCAGTCAACGGTCACCATTGAACTCACCATGAATTCTGCCACATATCAGAAGGTGCTTCAAGACATTTGAGACTGGCTAGCTCAATTACAAATAAATTGACCATCTTTGAGGGGTTTTCTGCTTGATTACCTTCATAATGAAGAGTGAACATCAAAACCAAAATCATTCGCACATCATTGAATGAAATCTGTAGTTGAACCCACAGGAAATTAGGCAAGCGGCAGGGTACACTCTGGACTGGTCACCAGTCTGTCACAAAGGATCACAGAGACAAACAATCACGCACCAACACACACACACACACCAGAGATACCACAGTGTGACCTTAAAAGGCATAGGAGGAAACACCCAAAGAAAAAAGGTCCTCCTCACTACAAGGTAACAATGCTAGCAACTGTGCCACTGTTCATCCCATAACCGGTAGAGAGAGGGACTGTCTCCGCAATCTTCCAAGGATAAAGTGGCTGTAGACAATGAATCGATGGAGGTGCATGAACCCAAAACAACAATCTAAACAGGACTTAGAACATCATAAAAGCAACCTTCACTGGAAAGCGCAGTGGTAAGAAGTTTCAATGACTTTTGACCTCTATTGCTGTACAGAGAGCCTTGCCATGGGAAACGTAACATTCAGGACAGAGACGGGTTCTGTGTCACAAGATTTAACGTTAAATCTTCATATTAACTTCAGAAGCAAAGTAAAAGACATTGTGAAGTTTCAAACTGAAGTCTGCGAAAGTTGTTATCCGCAGAGAAACGATTCATACACTGAAATGAGGTAAAAGGCCGTTTAGCAAGGAGGAAGCCATGAGAACAAAAGTAACATAAAACGACAGTTTAAAGTATCTAATCAATGGACCTAAGGTTTGGGAGCATTGTGTCTTAAAATATGCAGATGGTCTATATATAGTTTTAGCTGAATATAACAATATACAAATCGTTTAATCTACCACAGTCAAAATGTAACAAACTGTTGAGTTTTTTTGTACAAAGTTGTTGTTTATTTCCCCATGTCACATAAAGTTTAAAAAAAAGCTAACCATGCATCACCATCATCATCTTTCTCCAAGGTGGAGGGCCGAACATCCGTCATAGAGACGTTCAAGCAGCTGCTGGCGGAGGAGGGCGTCTGGGTGATGACCAAAGGGCTGTCGGCCCGCATCATTTCCTCCATGCCCACGTCGGTGCTCATCGTGGTTGGATACGAGACTCTGAAGAGGCTGAGCCTGCGTAGCGACCTGATTGAGACCAGACACTGGTGAAAGACAACAAGGCGTAGGCGGGGTGGGGGACCAGGACAGCCTGTCATCATTCTCCAGCTGCACAGAGGCAGTGACCCAGATCTGTCTGACGTGCTTTAGATTGGTGCGGCTTTAAACGCAGGAAGAAAGAGAATTCATCATGAGACGCAGCATTAACAACTGCAAGGTGGATGAAACAACCTTATTGTTCTCGCTGTCTGATGATTTGCTGTATTATCTGTGAATGATGCACATTGAAATGCGTAACAGGTACTTGTTCCTCATTTGTGTTGCTGTAGATAAAATGAAGCTGGGTGACGGACGAAAAGAACAGAATGGAAAAATTCAAGTTTTAATCCAGAATTTGGGTTTTCGGAGTCTGGTAGCTGGCTTATCAAGGAGCTAATGCCCTTCCATCTACTTTACTGCTATTATTTCTGTAAAGGTTTTACTTGATGTTCCATTCATACAAGTTTCTCTGGTTTTGTGGGGTTTACCTGCATAAGCTATGATGTTTTGGTTACTTTGTCATTCACAGATCATAAGTATGAGCTACCTTTTTTATTATAACCGTAATTCATTCAGCCTTGTCATCTAACTCTGGCATTGGGCCTTACATGACGGCAAGGTCTAATAGCGAGGTTAGCTAGCAACTCTTGGCAGACAACACAACGGCAGTGGAGCATCCTCTTAAATAATCATGGTCACACTTCCTTCCTCTTTTTATTTTCCAGTACATTCACCGTATCTTTATGTACTGAAAAAAAAATCTATCCATTTTGTCTCTGGCATATGCTTGGTGAAGTGAAATATTTTGAATGACTTCATCTGTTTTCTTTTTTTACCCTCGTTTTTCCACCCCTTGAGGAACTGTAGCGCTTCCTAGGGGATATGCATAGCCAACACTTTGAAATCTAGAGAGGTCTAGAGAGGTTGCATTAAATCTACTGAAACTGTAATAGCTTTGGTGGTGTAAAAACCAATTTTGCCTTTATCCTGTTGTACTCTCTTGTACAAATAACTTTTTAATGTATGCAGATCTTTCCCTAACTGAGTTTTTACGGGGAGTTTGGTTCTCTGGCCCGCAAGTGTTTTGTGGACTTTTAAGGTATTTTCCGAGGTCTGGCCAGTCCATGGACAGAAAGGTATCCGGTTCCAGAACCTCTGGCCTCATCTTTGCTTTTGGAGATGGTGTGGTTCTGTTGGTACCCTCAACTCCTGTAAGTCAAAAGCCATGGTAACCACCTGAGAGAAAGGTGGAGTCCTCATCTCAGTGTCTATTGAGGGGCCTTTTCTGCAGAATACTTGGTACTACTCTTTTTATGGAAAAAAAATAAATCTGTTACATGATTAATATGTGTGATTCTGTAGATTAATACCCTTTAGGACTGATTATATTGTGTGTCACTGCCTTTAATGTGTTCACTTCAACAAAGAGTAAACCACATTGATTTGAGCTCGCTTGTATCACTTCAGCGGTAACCAGGGTCCTCATATCGATTCCAAACATTTATATTTGAACTCTTAAAGTGTTTTTTGGGTTTTTTTGTATGTAAAATATCTCCTGGTGAGAAATTTGATGATTTTAAGAAGACTGCAACTCAAACCGTGCTGCCACGGATCTGTAAAACAAAGATGGCAGCAACACACCAGCACACAACTCCCTGATGTACCGACCTGCCTTCAAAGTTGACATTACAGTGTATTCAGATTCACTGCCATCCCACAGCGGACATCTTGTGTTTTGTTTTGTTTTTTTGAGCAATGTTTGCAGACACTTCTGTCCAGGTTGAGTACAGTGTTTCTGTGAATAAGACTCTCTCAGTATTTGTGACACATTAAATGAATGTGTAAACGCTGCGTTACGTAAACATGTCCAGAGTTCCAGTTGAATAAAATTGTGTAAATTTTTTTTTTCAACGTCATAAATCAGGGGCTGCAGTACATGTGATGGTCCATCAGGGGGAGCACTTTGTGCTTGAGATCAAGCTGCTGGAATCGTGCATCTTAAATTGGAATATCATACATTTTATTTTAGTGGTTCGAGTCAAAAAGGTTCAACTTATTGATGGATTAAACATGAACTGATTTAATTTCATTTTGATCTAAATTATATTTCTCAGAAAATGAGAACATTTTAAAACCGTCAAGGACATTTGTCAGTGCTGACAATGGACATTAATGGAAAGTTGAGTGGAAGAAAAAACTGAAAACAAAACGTCCACAAAAGGAACGCACACGGCCTTAAGACGATTGTGACACAATAGCTATTTAAGAGTTTGTCAAAGTTGGGAACCCTTAACTAAGTAAAAATAGCAATTTTCACAACTGTTGCTTGGTACTTCAGGCACCAAACCTATTCAAACCCAGAAAATAATAAAAGCAAAAAGTTTAACAGTCTTTTTTCTACAGCATGAAACCAATTCTGAAACTGTTGATTTGGGGAAAGTAGCAATTCAAAGTCTAGTTCGTCTCTCAGGGCTCACCTTTACATTAGTTAATTCTCACTTCGCATTCCAGGCCATGTAGATGGATGTCTGTAATAATAGGTTCAACTAACAGCAACACAACAGAAACATATTACCAAAAACAAGTCTTTTATTATTTGGCCTAATTTAGCCATTGCATAAACAGCAACACATTTACTATCCCTGACCCCCTCTCTGAGTATCAATGGAAACTTTTATCTCCTCCTGCTGTTACTGACTGCTCTTCATCACAATGGGCAGTCGTAGATGTGGATGGCGCGGTCGTCGCCGGCCGAGACGATCTTCGAGCCGTTGCTGTTGTACTTCACGCACCACACCTTGGGACGACAGAGATGTTGCGAGTACAGCAGCAATCAAAAAAACTCTGCCAACAGAAGAACAGATCAAACCTGCCAAGCGTCTCTGCAGCCTCAGTTCTAATGAATGCCGGCAGGAATTTTGTGAGACAAAATAAAAACATAAAATAAATAGATTTGCAAGTAGATTGAAGTTTGGGCTTTGACTGAGCCGTTTTAACGGATGCACACTATTCCATCTAAACCATTGCTGATGTGGCTGTAGATGGGAAGATGAAGCGCTGCTCTAGACTCACGACAGAAGTGCCAAAACATTTTTTTTGAAAATCCAGCGGCATGATGCTGCCACTCCCGTGCTTCATGGTAGAAATTTGATGTTTTGGTTCAAGTGCAGTTAAATGGTTTAGTCCACATGGAGACAGTTAAATGGAAAAATGCATAATTACAATTTTTTTTTTTTAACAGAATTTTGGTCTTTAGTGTGGCTCTAAACTACCTTATGATAAATCTGGTGCAAAGTAACCTTTAATAGTATTTTCCTCAGAAACAAATAAAAGACAATTGTTTATTAAAATTTCTGACCAAACTGGAGTTTTGAGAAAACTCTATTGGAGTCTGCTTCTACACATAGAAAAACAGAAAAATTTAGGGTCCAGCGCATTAAAGTTTGCAACAAATAACGAGCGAACGCTTCCACATACTCGCTTCGATAAATGCTATTTAAAGTAGTTCTAAAGTGAACCTCCTGTGTAATTCCTAACAGTAAGTCATGATTATTTTTAAGCTGACATGGATTTCAGCTTTTCACCCCCTACAGTTTAAAGCAACACTCAGGGATATTTGTGCAAGTTTATGTGGATGAAAACTTTTCTGAAACTGATCCTGTGTGTTTTCTTAAACGATGTGATGGAGACATTTGCTTTTATGAAGATCCGTCTACGTGGGCACATGTTCGGCCTGTCGGCCAAAAAGAGGTGGTCATCTGAGCGGATGACCTTGCTCCACCTCTTCAATGGAACAGTGCAAATTAAAATTTCTTATGGTTTTCTTATTGCGAAAAGCAAAAATTGAGATCTTCCCAGAAAAGGTGATTAGTAGCGCATGATTTTACTCCTAGGTGTTAATATTTATCCTCTACCGTTGGTTGGTCAGTCACAGAAAATTTCCCTAGATCAGCAAATTCTCACACAAAGATAAAATATAAAAAAAACCCCAGAAGAGTCAGATTCCTCACCTGGTCCTGGTGGTCGAAGAAAGTGTTGATGCAAGCTCTGGTGCTGGAGTCCCAAACTTTCACGCTCTTGTCAGACGAGCTGAGGGGAGCAGAAAGAAGAAGGTTTTTACGTCTTGGCGGCGGAATGGATTCACACCGATATGAAGCGTGGCGAACTGGAGGACAAAACACTTCGCATCCTAGCACAACAACAACATATAGAAGTGTGGAAGAGCTGCTTTTAGTGTTCCACCTGGAGACAAAGTGGGTGTGGTCCGGAGAGAACGCCACATTTAGAACCCAGGAGCCGTGGCCGCTCAGCGTGCCGGCAAGGTTGGCATGTTGTCTGAGGAACAAATAAAGCACTGCTTCAATCTGCTGCTTTTTCCGCAATTTGTGGACGAATCGCTAAAATTACGACTGATCAAAGCGATAATGCGCAGCAAGTGCCTCTTACACGTCGTATATTTTGATATATCCGTCGTCAGAGGCGGTGACCAGCAGCTGGGAGTCCGGGGAGAAGGTGAGGGATCTGATGGGCATGGCGTGACCTGCAGACACGAAAACACAGAATATCAAACTCCTCCACCGGACAGTACTAAGTCTAAAGGTACGACTCAAGTCAGGCTTCCTGAACACTCATCAGTTCACAATTTTACTCTTTTCCAGACAAATTTCAAGAGTTTAAAAGGATTTTTCTTTTTATTGTATTTTAGATATTTGACCCAAAACGTCATGTTTCAGTTCACAGTAGCCTTATTATCTGTACATTTTGTAATTGTCAAATGGGGATTGGTAGTGATTGGAGTGATATTTAAAAGATGGAAGACAAGAAAAAAAGAAAGACTCAAACCTTCAAACAACAAACGCGACACAGATTTTTTTTGTTATTTTTTCGTCAAAAGTCCAGAGTTTTCTAAACTCAAAGTTCCAGATTTCCCAGCTGTTTTCAGGTCATCGTAAGGTGGACACATCACAAAGCATTCGCAGAAAAGTGAAACATTATGGCAAAATCTGAGAATCTGAGAATCTGTTGCATTATAATCTAAATTAAACTGTTAAATGTTTTATTTTCAGTTATATTTAAAAAATGACAACCTTAAAGGAAATAAGTTGGGCTTTTTCTTGCCTCTATTATGTGACCTGCTTAATCCTAGGGCTGGAAAATTTAAAACCAGATAAAGGTCTAAATCATCACTAAAATGCTCGATTTGCCTGGCTTTCAATCGAAGGGTTATTCCTGAAAAAAAAAGTGTCTTTTTTCTTCATATAAATCGGTAAATTAGCCGACCTTCAAGTGTGTGGAGTAGCTTCCCGGTGGCGATGTCGAAGATGTTGATGATCCCATCGATCGCGCCGCTGGCTAAATACTTCCCGTCGGGGCTCTGAGGAGCGAGAAGGAAATGTGAAATGGAGCCAAAATGGCCGCCAAAGCGCTGTGAGGAAGTTTCGGGACACTTTCAGATTCCTCCTATTTTTGCTTTTAATTGTCACATGTAAATATTTCAGGGAATCAAACTCATTTGAAGCAGAGTAAAAATGAAAACCCCACATGTTCACGTGCTTCTTTGTTGAAAAAATTACTTTGACAACGTAAAAAAAAGAGCGGGAAAAAAAAAAGCAAAAATAAGGTACAAATACTTTCAAAGCGTGAAAACAAAATGGCGACTTAAACAAAAAGGAGTCACAACGGTAAATAAAAACTCAAGACCAGATCTGAAAAGAAAACAAGTGACTGATTCTCACGTAAGCTATACTGAGGATGAATTTTCCTCTGGTGTCCAGGGAATATTCCTTCTTGCCGCTTTCCACACCGAAGATGTTCACTTTTCCAAGATGGCTGCCTGTGGCGATGTACTTAGAGTCTGGAGAGAAGGCGACTGTCCATGCATCGACTAAAAAAGCGACAGAAAATTGATAAGAGGATACGAAGGGTTTACCTCTGGAAAACAAAATCTGCGTTTGTGCATTGTGAAATAAAAGAGAGTTACATCATGTTCTCAAATCACTGAGAAATCTCAGTCCAGGTGAGACACAAAAGCAAGAATAAGCTCCTCCCACCTGGTCCGGCGTCCATGGACTTAATCTGTTTCCCCGACTCCAGGTCCCACAGGCGGATGTGTGCGTCCAGGGAGCTGGAGGCAGCGATGGCTCCGTGGTGACTGATGTCTACAGAGACCACGCCCAGCTGGTGGCCCTCCAGGGTCCACTGCAGCTCCAGCTTCTCGTCCGACCTGCAGGAGAACCGAGAGTTATACGTGCTATTTCCAGGCCTAGTCAAAGCCTTAGATTTATCAGCTGGCTTTCACCTGGATACGATTATTGTTTTACCGGGAAATTTGAGAGGATGTGAAATTTCAGCTGCATTTGAGGATGTGGAATAAGCAAAACTTTGACAAAACCCATGTCACAGAGCTGGCTCCATTCATTCTGGAGTCCTAAACTATTAGTTAAGGTCTTTTTCAAGTGTAACTAGAACAGCAGCTGTACTGGCGTCCAGCAGAAAAATAACAGACAAATTTGATCAGTAAAGACAACATCACTATAAGAGGGAGGGAAGGTGCAAAAGAGTAGAATGGAGAAAGGATCGCAGAGAAGCTGAAAAGAAGAGTGGAAGAAAGTCAAGCAGGAAGGACGGATGAAAGAATGAAAGAAAACCACCAGCGCCGAAGAGGACGGAGAGATTCACACCATTTCCAGACTTTGACCAAATCGTCTAGCGACCCGGTGATGATGGTTTCCGAGCCGTCCGCTTCACTTTTGCCCCACGCTGCTGTCCAGATGGCATCGTCATGAGCTGAAGGCAAACAGGGGAGATGAGAGGAGAAATCCCAGCTCGGACCAAACTCCCTCAGCTTAAAACAGTCAGTTGTTGGCACTCTGTCCCCATGAAAGGCACCAAATATCACCAGCACGCGCTTT